AATTCCCAAGATGATCTCTGAACAATAAACACGAGAGCTTCCATTCTTAGCAGACATACCCTATTTTCTAAGTATCAACAGCAACAAAACCAAAAACTTGCTAGACAAAACAGTCATGGAAAGATTTCTACACAAAAAATTTGCCTAGTGCAATATATTTCTGCCTTGTATACTATGAAAAACTAGCTTCAGATTCTAAAATTCAGAGGAAAAAGAAATCTGATCATTAACATCTAATTATTTACAAAGCAGCCACCAATTCAAGTTACTGGCTCCTAATCATACTGTCATTCTTCTCCATGGCATAAAATCCAGATTTTAAACTTGTTTTATGTATATTCTCAAAGCATTATTTATGAACAGAAAAGTCTTCATTAGGAATAATATATATATATATATATATATATATATAACACATACATAATAAGTTAACTGGTCAACCCACACTTATTAAGTAAATTCCCATCAGGACTGGGCCAAGATCAGACAAATAAATGAGAGATGCTTAAAAGTATATTTGTTCCAGTTTTAAGAAGGATGCTGTGTATTTGAACTTAGCATCAAGGAACACAGCCAACAACCAGATAAAAACATGTAATCAATGAGCACCTGGCCCAACATGATGGGGCAATGTTAATAACCCAATCTCCAAAAACAGAATAGTCTTTTTAAAAAACTGTTTAAAAAGAAAAAAGTGAACATTAGCTTCCCTTTAATCCAGATAAGCAGAAGACTACATTCAATACATATATCTGGTTTGCTAAAACACTTTAAAGAGAAACAACCTAATGACCCCATTCAATTATTCAGCAGGCTGAAATCTTAGAACACTTCTTTCCACATTCTTCAAACTGCATTTATAATTTGAGTCTCCACCAGCATCACGATTTTGTCTGCATTTTACTCTGTACTGTGTATCATTCCTCTTTGTTACTTTGGTAAAAAACTCACTAGCTTAAAAAAAACTGCCATAAATTGACATCAAATAATCTGATTTCCCATTATTAGGTTTCTAAATAAAGCCAAAATGATCCGATTGTCCAAACCTGTTGTTATCTAAATAGGTTTGATCTACTCCAGTAATTCTTTACTAAATAAAAGTCATTTTTAAATGGGAACAATTTGAATTATCAGGCTGAAGCCTATTCTATTTTCTATCAGATTATTAAATAATCTGTAACAGACATGAGAGGTAAGAATGATCAAGTCTTACCTTTGTCAGTTGTTACTTTTTCTATGCATCTGAAAGAAATGAGAATCAAATATTAAATAAACAATCTTATACACTTTCCTAAAACACAAATATTTATCTCTTTCATGTTCATCGCCAGAGTGATGCAGAAAGCACCTACAGCAATGCTGTCCAACAGAACTTTCTGCAGTGATGAAAATATTCTCTATCTGCACTGTTCAATACGGTAGTTGCATGTGGCCGCTGAGTACTTGAAATAGCTAATGTAATTTAGGACCTGAATTTTTAATTTTTATTAATGTAAATTTAAACAGCCACATGTAGCTACCATATCTGACAGCACACAGAGTATCATTTCAAATAGTTGTTTTTAACTGTAAAAATGTATTAATACAAAGAAAATACTGCTAATTTTATGTTAAGTGGTTATATAATACAATGTCCTTATTTTACACAAATGCAGTAACTAGGGGTAAAACGAAATAATGTTTGAGATGTCCTCTAAAATACTTCTGCCGAAAGAAGAAGAAGGGCAAGGGGAATAGATGTAGCAAGCATAGTAAAATCTCCATAACTGTTAAATCTAGGTGACAAATACTGGGGTTTCATTATACTGTTTTCTCTACTTTGTGCATATTTCACAATTTTCATGATAAAAACTGAATGAACCTAAAAGAAAACCCTAAAATTATTCTTTTATTAAACCCAAGTCAAAATCTATTTCTACAAAGGCAATACTGGACTGCAGAAATAAATATAACTTGCAACTACACAACTAGCAATAGTAAAGAATTTAATGTTATAAACTACTGACTTAAAAAATATTATTCCCATGTTTTTAATTTGGGAAAATTTCTATCATACATAATTGCTGTGTATAGTATAATGAATCTCCCTCTAACTATTACCCAAATTCAAATGGTTGACATGTCTTGGATCTTTACCATAAAGGTGCCACACAATACCTCTCAGCAGTACAAAGTTTTCTCCTCTTTTGAAAGTAAACCTAATACAAATGAAGACTCTTGTGTCACAAAAGACTATCCGAGCAAATACAGAAGCCAGGGAGTAATCCAAATTCTGTTTAGAATGTTTAGAATGTTTAGAATGTTTAGAAAGAATAACTATGATTTTCTTATTCCACATATTTTTTAAAAAGCTTGGTATTATAATTTTAAATTGTATTACCAATGTCCCAATTAACAATTAACACAACATAACTGGCAATCATTCTAACTCTAAATGAAAGTACAGAATAACTGCTAAATTTTGAGACATTATACAATAAACTTTCCAAAAACCTTCTGGAATGGTTCAATGTTTCTATTATCATATTAATCACGAGAGGAAGAAAATTCAGGATTTTAGTCTTGTACAATACTAAAGGCTTGTACTGAAGCCTTCTCCATAGAGCCATAAAAGTTTTTTCAGTTCAGAATATTACCGTCTCTTCATTCTCACTATCCATGACCCTCGCCTTTTCCTTACAAAAGGAAAGAGCAAGAAAGTGTCACCTAAAGGTTTACTGCCATTTCACCTTTAGCAAGAAAATAAAACAAAAATAGAATTCCACGTATCACAAAATAGAAAAATATATGTTTTCTTCATTTATAATCCATCTGAACCTGCAGGAGTACTTCTAAGAATACTCAGTTTTGGCCAACAGGGTTACTCAACAGCTAACCTAAAAGTTTAAAAAAGTATTTATTGAAGTTTTAAATTCTGAAACGCACCATATAAACAAAGGAGTTATCATAAGGTAGAATGAAAAGAATCCTTTTGCATTTTAACCTAGTCTAACAATTACACTGTTTGCATATTAGTAGAAAGAATGGATGTTTTAACTTATGAATCAGAAAAAAGTTGGTGGAATATATATTTTTTTAAAAAATTATATTTCAAATGAAGATGTTTATATACTAATCTAAGGATCTTAACTCTGGAGTTTATTGGCTAAAATAAGACAAACGATGAGCCTAATTCTTAGATAGTACTGATACATAACCTTTCTCCAAATTTGGCTTACCTTTCCTTACTATTAGCCCTTAAGTTTTAATTTATAATGATTCCAGCATTTAACTTTGTGCGTTTCTCTTAAACACATTCACTGAAAATTTTTTTTTATTTCTCTTCACAAAGATGTCCTGCTCTTTTCATTTAACTTCCAAACATTTCAATGCAAATGGAAAAGTTGTTATAAGCTTACGAAAGTTTATAAACTGTAACATAACTATCATCTAACTACAAAGATCATTTCACAAATCATAAATTATCAGTTACAGATGAAGAAGCAGATTTAAAGAAGTGACTTGCCCAAGGTCATATGGTGAAGCCAGGACCTGAAACTTTCTGACTAAAGTCCAATGCTTTTCCCACTATATTATTTTGCCTTCTAATAGGAAAAGAGGTTTTAATTAATCCAAATCTCTATATTGATCTTTTAAGCTACTGGACACTTTGTAGTCTCTTCAATCAAGAGTAACAAATGTAGGTTAAACAACTGATTACTGGTAATTTATACAGGCAAATGCTGAGATACAGAAATAGGACCTGAACAGAACAAGAAATTAATATAGGGATTAAATCTCTTACTTCCTTTTTAAAAAAACCATCATAACGTTATTTGGAAAATACTAGAGATAAATCAAGGTCAGAAGGCACTTGACCAAGGTTCAGTAAACTGATACTCAAAACCTCTTGAAATGTCTCAGGGGATTAAATTAACTTTCCTACTTAATTAGTTTTAAAATTTATTTTATCACTGAAAATACATAAGCCATGCATACTGTCTGACAAATCTCCACTAATCAGTGTATCTTCCCCTTATACTGCAAGGTCCTTGAAGATGAAGTTCACGTCTCATTTATCTTTATAAAGCCCAACTCAGCACAGTATCAGGCCCAGGTACCACTCAATCAAGTTTACTGAGCTGAAATGCTTTAGGCCTCCTTTATTTCCAGGGCTTGCGGTAAACTGAAAATGTGTACCAAAAAATTATTATGACAAAAATTTATTTTAACAATCCACTCAAAACTGCATAATTTAAAACACCTAATCAAGAGAGAGTTCTGAGGCTAAAAGAAGGTAAAAAAATACTACTGTACAGTCTTTTATGATCCTGGATGAGAGAGGGAGGGACACTGAGAACCAAAACAATTCCTTCCTCTCCACAAGGAATTTTGTGTAGAAAAAACTGAAGGGATTTAATTGTCATCTTCATCCAAGTTCAACTGTTGTATTACTTATATTGTAGAAGTAAAAGGCTCATTAGTACTTTTTTGTCAAGAGGTAGGGAAAAAATAAAGCATGACAGCAGGTAAAACTACTACTCTTGGTATAATTATCTTCAGAGATCATTTATATAAGTAAAACTGGTGGAACAGTGGGAGGGAAATGTGGCAAGGAGACATACGTATATTTAACTCTCAAATGGGTCAAATATTTTAAGTTATTAACCTTCCTATGCGAGGCAGTAGAAAAAATATTAAAAAACAGAAAAAATATCAAATTTTGCAGAACTTACATGAAAAACAGCACTACACACCACTTATACCTCTATCATGCCACCACTACTCAAAACAGTAACTTTTTTTTTTTGAGGAAGATTAGCCCTGAACTAACATCCACTGCCTGTCCTCCTCTTTTTACTGAGTAAGAATCGCCCTGAGCTAACATCTGTGCCCATCTTCCTCTACTTTATATGTGGGACGCCTGCCACAGCATGGCTTGATAAACGGTGTGTAGGTCTGCACTCAGGATCCCAACCTGCCAACTCCAGGTCGCTGAAGCAGAGCGTGTGAACTTAACCACCCGGCCATAGGGCTGGCCCTCAAAACAATAACTTTTAATATTTTCTATATATCAGGCTTTGTGTTAAGTGCTTCACATGCTGTACTTAATTCTCACAAGCACATCTTACAGGGATTAACATCTTACAGATACGAGGAAACTGAGGCACTGACAGTTTGAGAAATTTGTCCAGGGAATTTATATCCGAATAAGGCTAATGATATATCTTTTCAAATTTATGAATTTAAATATAGAAGCTTAAAATTTTTATGACCATAAAATTTATCTACAGCAATTAGAATCCTAATTATAACTATCATTTATAAGTACAGATTTTTGTTGTCCACAGAACTGTAGTTTTCACAGTCCCCTTATGTTAACATTCAAAAATTTGAAAGCACATCTAATATCATAACATGACACCTTCTAATTGTATTTCTCTCTGAGAGGCTTCTAAGGCAAGCATGCCAAGGTTACAGACTTAACAATTTTAGAATAGGTTGTTTCAAATTTTAAATCTACTAGGTCTGGTACAAGCCAAATCTTTGGTGGGGAGGGAAACTGATCGCCCCGCCACCTTCTTTTCTCCGCTTTCACTAATTTTTTTCACTTGAAAGTCAAAAGACACAAATGACGTTTTCAGTCAAGAAATCAACGGCTAATGAGATTAATTTCTAGAGTTTACAAGCACGTGTGCTTCAGTATTTTCAATAGAAAAACATTATTTTAATAAACAAGTTAAAATATTTATGTTCCTCGTTCCTCTATTATCTGCAGGTAATAAAGTAATTCCTTTCAGATTAGTCTAATTTTTAAAAGTGAAGTTTCTATATTAAAACATGCAAAAACAAAACTATGCCACTTTGCAAAACAAGAAGTTAAAAATATACACCTAATCTTGTTATATGAAAGACTCTACATTTAACAAAACTGGTAGAACCACGCTTTTACGCTACTAGTAAATACTAGATTTTTAAAACGAGTGAAAAATGATGTGAAAATTAAGTAGAATGAAAAAAGCTACATGAAAACACTAATACAACTGGCTTTTGAACTAATTAGTGGGAAGGAGGGGGACACACTTTCGAAGGCTAAGATCATGCTGTTGATTTCCTAAAGGGGATGTGATGTAATACTGGAGAGCCGCCTTAAGAGGGAAAGGATAGGCTGACAAAGGGAGTGCAGATGCCAGAGTGCGGGAGAAGCCTGCGGCGACAGGGAAGAGGTGGGTCACTAGGGAGCAGAAGAGGTGTATCCAGCAAAGGACAACTTCACGGGGTGGGGAGGCGGCCCGAAGGGCAGAGGGCAGGGGCGCGGAGGACACAGGGCTGGACAGGCGCGATAAGACAGCTAACCGGAGCGGAGTGACATCTGGCGTGCAAGCCAGCAGGGGGCAGAGCAGGCAGGATGTCACGTGGAGTGGGCGCTACGGCAGCCGAGAGGGTTGCGTGCGGGCAGAGGGGGGTCTTTACCACCGCCTGAAAGACTGCGTTACTCACAGGAGTCGCGGACTCTTCTTGCCCTGAGCTGGAGACGGGGGCTTCGCGGCCTGGGACTGCTGCCCGGGGGCGTCGGAAGGCCTGGCGCTGGGGCTGCTCCTCCGCCGGCGGGGATACTCGGCCTTCCTCCGACGGGACACAGCGGCGGCGGCCGCGGCCGCAGCGGCCCGGCCCCGGTCCCGACCTCCCCTTAGCACGCGGCTGCTAGTGGTCCCCGCAGGCGCCGTCGCCGCCGCCTCAGGGGGCTGTTGTTGGGGCTCCTCCGGAGCCGCCTTGGCCGCCGCCGCCTCTCCCCCTTCCTGGTCCTGCTGCTCCGGGGGTCTCGGCTCTTCCGTCTCCCCCGGCATCGGGACTCTTCCGTCCCCCACCCCCTTATCCCAGGCGGCGGAGGCGGAGGCGGCGGCGGCCGCGACGCTGCTCCCCCCGCCCCCCTCGCCTCCCGGAGCGTCCGGCTCACTCTCACTCTGCGCTCCTCTTTCCCCCCTCCCCTCCTCACGGCTCCGAGGGCACCCCCCCCGCCCCCTGCCACTCAAGGCCCGCTACGGCTGGCGGCGCGCGCGCGCGCGCGCCCTACACAGACGCTCAGCGGACCAATCGGAGAAGAGGAACAGCTTCTTCGCCCCACCCCTCACGGTCTCTCACGCAGCAGCGTACTGGGTTCCCTCCCCCACACCTTCCTTCAGCCAATCAGGAAACGGCTACAAGGGAGCGCGCGAGGTTTTCTTCCCCGCGCACCCGTTCTCACCGTTAAACGGCTGTGTCTCGCGACAATCCCAAAGTCACCTTTTATTCCCCCTCCGGAGCTCAACGTGCGCTAGGGACAGTGGGAGGGGCAGGTCTCGCGAGGAGGTTGGTGGGAAGAAAACGCACCTCTTTCCCCGCCTCGCGCGCACCCTGGCCAGGCTGCGCGCGCACCTGCCTCCCTAAGGAGCCGCTAATGCCACAAGGGCTCTATCCTTCTTCCTTAAGCCGCGGAAGTAGCCTCGGCGTTCTTCTGCCTGTACCCCGATCCCACTTTCCTGTCTGTGGCCTTTCTGTCCCCAACGCCGCCAGGTCTTGCGGGGAGAAGGGGAAAATTTTTTGAGCTGTCGCTTCTCCTTTAAGAAAAAAAGCCCCGTCGGCTGCCGGATGAAAGTCTCTGAAAAAATGGCGGCGGCAGAACAGAGGCGGGGTCGTGAGGGCAAGAAGGACCCGCCTGTTGGCGCAGGCGCATGGTTAACTTGCCCAAAGGCATGCTGGGTGATGTAGTCCTATTTATTTTATAATTCAGGAGGAAAAAAGATTGGAAACCAGAGGCGAAGAGGATGTTGGGAGCTATTGACTGATGCAGGATGGGAATGGTAGTTTACTCTTTGCGCAGTGTGAGTTTAACTTTTTTAGGGAGGAAGTGGTTCCGGGTTAGGCCGCGACGCAACATTTGGGCACAAATGTTGAGCCAGTTGCTTGTGTTATTTGCCTGCGATGGTTTTGTCTACTTTTTCAGTTGGTGTTAGCGAAGCTTTTGTAGGGTAGCCACGTAACAGCCCTTACCTTGGTTTGGTTAGGTGGCACCTCTTCTGGGACCCGTTAGCGTTCGTGTCTGCAATATTCGTCTCGTCATCCTGTGTCTGATCCACCAACCTGTGAGTCCCTGGAGGTCAGGGACTGAATCTGGTTCCGTCGGGTCCTGGGGGGCGTATCACAAGTCGCACCACTCGTTTGATTCTTAATAAAAGTTAAGAAAGAATTGTAGAGTTGCTTTGTTACTAGACTTTGTCGGGGCCAAGTAGCTGGAATCGGCTGCTTGACTTGGCGGTGGTCCCTGGGCTGGAAGGAAGAGTGAAGGGTTGTTAGCGTGACTCGCGTGACTCTTATGCTCCCCACCCCGGAGCCACCTGCCTCTGCGGTTTTTAAATGTTTCTGCTGCACAGGAAGCAAAGTCAGAATAGCAGCTTTGTCAGAAATTACGTTGCTGTTTACTGGCGTGTGCAAATAAATTGTTCTAATATGTCAAACGGGAGTTTCCATTTGCTCATCTCCAAGTTGCATTTGGCGATGGCAGTGGGCCTCTCTCATTCCTTCCTTTTTTCCTTTCATCCATCATAATCAAGGAGCAATTTGCAGGAATGGTTCTTACCGCTTGAAAATAAAGCATCCAGGATTAAAGTCCCAAAAGAAAGGGATGGAAACAAGATTTGGGGGTCCAATTCTAAATTTTACAATCATTCAGTTAAACTGCAGATGGAGTCCAATATTTGCAAGCGATGTGCTGAAGTGCATTTTTCCTTTTAGTATTTTGGCTCAGTTACACTTCAGATTCGGCAAATGTTTTATATGTCTATTGCGTATTGCGCACTTTCACAAGGCTAATGGCTTTTCACTTGTTAAAACTGTCTGGCATCCTGTGCATGGGGATTTTTTCAAACCGATCTTTGCAGTGAGCAGACTTTTGGAACAGCACTGACATCCAATGGTTGCTCAGAGTAATGCAGAGTGGATTCTCTTTTCCACTAAAAAAAAAAAAAAAAAAAGGTCTTAAGAGTCACAATGGGATGGAGAATGAATGATTCCTTTAGATCAACCTAAAAAAGACTACTGTGTTGTAGAGGAAAGATCACAGGATTTGAAGTTAAATTTGGATTATAGTAAGTAGCAAAGCTACCTGCTAACTCTATTAATTTTAGCAGTTTTCTATTGAGTCTATTTCACCACTGGTAACAATGGGGATAATATCTATTTCACAGGGCCATAATTATAGTTCTTTACATACTACCTTCTCATGGTAGGCCTTTTGTAAATGTTCTGTTTCATTCAAAATGAATAAAATCATAGCAGTAAAAAAGTTGAAAGCTAACCTCAGTGTCACTTTTCAGAGAAGCTAATGTAAGGCAATGTAACTAGGCAGAATTATGCTTAATTGAGATGTCTGCAGTTTAGCACCTGGTGTCTTAAATCTTCTGGTTTCATTCTTAATGACCCCTATAGTTGTTTGCATTTTGGACCACTGAAATAACTCAGGTCCTGAGAACCCAAACATGAATATGCCTCTGCCCTGCCTTTAATGTATCTGCAATCTATTTAGGAAACAGGTAAGCATGTCTTCAAGAAATAAAGACAGCCAAATGAATTGGGTGCTGGTTAACTATGAAGGAAGCTATGCCTCCGCAGTTTACAAGCTTTACAGAAAAAAAAAAAAAAAAAAAAAGTAGGTTCCCTGATGCCCAGTCACAGTGGTATACCCATATTGGGAAAAAACGCAAGTACAAATATGCCATTTCCATGAATTCGAGATGAATCCTAGCACATAGTAGGTGTTCAAATTTTTCAAAATTAATTTTGAATCTTTATCACCCTGGCCAATGCACTACCAGAACTCAAATCTTCCTACCCACCTTTTCATTTCAGTCCCATTTTTAAAACTCTGACCGACAAAAAAGAAAAAAAAAAGAAAAAACTCACCAAATCAAAAGAGAGGAAGTGCTAAGCAAATACAGGAACCAAAAAGGGTTATAGAGGCTGCTTCACGCTGTCTCATTCAGTTCCTTTGTGGTCCTCTTCTCCGGCACATGCCAAAGCAGTTCCTCACAACCTGTGGCACCAGAGCATCTTGGACGTGTGACAATGGAAGAGTTGGGTGAGTGAGGACCTTCTTGGAGGAGAAACTTGGAGGGAATGAAGTCTTGGCTGCCATCTTCATGTGTGGTGGGGTGGACTTCTAGTCAGCTGGAGGGTAGTGCTGGAAGAGTATATTTTCACTTCTCTCCTGACCTCAGCCCAACCAAGAGTGAAGCGTGAGGAACTATGATTGTTTTGGGGAACTATGGGTTCACTGTTTTCAGTGGCAGAATGTAGGCAAAGAATTTAGGTGCTAACCTCCGAGTAAACTCTGCACAAATACTTTTCGACTGAATTGTGATTGAAATTGCCATTTTGTTATGGGCATTTTGCCCTTTTGGGGCTACTGGAGATCATAGGATGTTCACACAGTTGGCAACTGCAGAAATGCAATTTGCATTTAGTTTTCTTTCTTTCAAAAGAAAGAAAAGGGAGGGAGATAAAGGGTGTTATGAGGAGAAATAGAAGTATAAGAATGTGGGATCCGCAAAGGTTGGAGAAAGGCCAGGGTGGTTTCATTTGTTCCATGGTTTAGTATTAAATCAAGAAGACATAGCACTGTAACTCCAGGGATTCTGTTGCTAAGCATTTATTCAAAGGAGTTCTGAAAGAACAGATTACTATGGCCTGTGAATATGATAGCTCCTTCTACTCCAAAGCAATTAAAACTAGCAGTGAAACTATTGGCCACATTGCTCAGAGAAATTCCTCATTTCAAACCTTTGGAGTAATGTAATCTTTGTCATTCTTGAAACTCATTCCATATCCTTTGCAAACTTTTGTTGCTGGCAGCCTTACTAGCACTGAGTCACTAACCTTTACCCAATTTCCAAGTGTTATTAATTCCGCAGTGTTGTGAGTTTTTGTATGTTTGGGGTATGTCAAAAGTGCAAACAACGACAGCAAAAACATCTCTTGCACATTGTCTTTAAAAAAAAAATTTTGAACTGTGATTTGAGAGCTGGAGAGGTAGAGGGAGGAGGAAAGGCAAATTACAGGAGGGAAGGGATTTTGATGATGAAAAGATGGTGTTGAATTGGTTGTAAGTAAAGTCCATTTTGATACTTGGGGTAGAATATATTTTGGGCTTGGTGTGGAATCCAAATTCTTGTGCTGTGTGAGGGATAGGGAAATTCACACTTTTGCCTTAGTTCCACTGGAGTCCAGCTCTGGTTTTTTATTATAGGGATACCTAATGGCTTTCCTGAAAGTAATTCAAAAGGAAATTAATACTTATTCAATGACTTACGCTAAAATTAGACATTTTTACATACATTAATCATTTTAGCGTCCAAAGCAACCTCTGAAATAGGTATTATCCCCCCGCCTTTATTTTTCACATGAGAAAACTAAGAAAAACAAAATAACTTGTTCTACATCACTCTCTGGAGCACCTGACACCAAAACTGATTCAGTTACAAGATGCTCTCCAGTTTTAGAAGTTTGTTGGCTTAGGTGTTCCAGCCAACAGAATAACCCAGATAATTACAAAATAATAGATTTGCACAGTTTTGCATTTCCTGAGCAGGATGAATCATAGAGAAATTTGGTCCAGAAAATACCAAGCAGCCTGGAAGGTAACATTCCTGTACGTTATCCAGGTGGTTAAACTCCAACTGCTTCTTCAAATTGTCATCAGCCCAGTTACTACCCAAAAGACTCAGGGTGGGTCTTCCACCTTGCACAGAAATAGCATGGAGAACAGGTCAGAACAGGCGGGCCAATATTTCCTCTCTGCAATACTTCCTCCAAGATGAGTAGTTCAGATCCACCCAGACAGCTTTATCAAAATCCTCGTTATATGAGGATGCTAGATAAAGGGGAACCAGGAGAAGACTCTGGCTCTGAATGAAATCATCACAATCCAGTGAGACCCCGAAGAGATGTCACTTTACTCCTTTCATGTTAACGTTGATATTATTTGATTTCTCCAGATGAAGGGCTATAGAGACGGACCGTAGAGTTTTCAGTATAATACACTCCACCACCAGTAATCCCATGTTTGTCATACTGAAATTAGTCATCTTCAAATTACAGAATCTTGCAAAAGGCAAAATAATCTTGGGATGTTGGTGATATGTGCCCTCATAGGAAACAGGAAGAGAAAGGCCTGTTAACTTATGACCCAGAAGAGAGAGTTTCAGCAACTTTGGTTAGCTGGTGCTTCTGAGGGTAACCTTCTCCTCTTCGTGGTATGGTTTACTTCTCTTATAGAGGGTCTCCTCTTCCCCTAATCTTTATTGTAAGCGTCTTTTTATTTTGAATCTAAGAGGATTCATGACTTCTACTTGGAACAAAGCTTAGAAAATAGAAAAGAAAAGGGCTATATCTTAATAGAGGGATTCAGAATAAAAATTTGGAAATCAGAAATTTGGAATTCAGTCTGACTAGTAAAGTCCTGAAAAAAAAATTTTTACTTTCTAATTCTACCTTAGTTTTATTTTTCTTTTCTTTTCTCTTCTTTTTAAAAACATTTTGTTACAGAGAATTTAAAAATGCACAAAAGTAAAGAAAATAGTTTAAAGAAATCTGATGTATCCATCAACCAGCTTAAACAATCATCAACTCTTGGCCAATCTTATTTCATTTATACACTCATTCATTCCTTCCACTCTTGGATTATTTTAAAGCAATTTCAGACATTGTATCATTTCATCTGTAAATATCTCAGCATGATCTCTTAAACACGTATATACATATACATATACATATGTATACACACGAAAACCCATAATAACATTATCACTCACAAAGTCCTTAATAATAATTCTTTAATTTCATGAAATACCATTATCACACCTAAAATGTTAATTTTACTTACTTTTTAAAAATTAAAGTAATTTTAAATTACTTAATATTATCAAATATCCTTATCACATCTACAATAAATTAACAGTACTCAGTATGCTTGCATACCCAGTCAGTGTTTAACATTCCCGATTGTTTCTTTTTGTTTATTTAGTTAAGGTTCATACATTGAAATTAGTTATGTCTCTCAAGTCTCTTTTGATCTGTGAATTCCCCCTCCATCTCTTTTTTTCCGTTACAATTTATTTGTTGAAGGGTAATTTTTGGTTTCTTTTTGTTTCTTTTTTAGCTCAGGTGCCAATCTTTATTTTTTTATTGCAGTAACATTGGATTATAACATTATATAACTTTCAGGTGTACATTGTAATATATTTCAAATCCTGTGTAGATTACCTCATGTTCACCACCCAAAGACTACTTACAATCCATCACCACATGTTTGTGCCTAATCACCTCTTTGCCCTCCTCCCTCCTCACTTCCCCTCTGGTAACCACCAATCCAATCTCTGTTGCTAGGTATTTGTTTGTCTTTGTTTTTATATCCTGCTTATGAGTGAGATCATACAGTATTTGACTTTCTCCCTCTGACTTATTTCGCTTAGCATAATACCCTCAAGGTCCATCCATGTTGTCACATAGGCCGGATTTCATCATTGTTGAAGGGCAATTTGACCTGAAGAGTTTAGCTCAGTTTGCTTATCTCTAAAATGGTACATAAAATTCACTGTTTTTGTGAGATGGGTGATTGAGAAAGATCTGTAGAAGATTTCATTCTTAAGAAATGATTAGCCCTTTTCTTATGTGGTTAAGAAATGCCCCAACACCTGAAATAAATGAAAAAGCTTTTTTAATGACCTGCAAAGTTCATTTTCATCTTCTGAGAACTTCAGAGCTAGGCAGATCCTTAGAAATAATATCTTCCAGTATTTTGCAAACTTTTAAAAACTGCAACCCCTGGTAAAAAATCCTCTACAGGTCCACCAATTTGAAAAATACTGTTGTAATACAGTTGCTTCATTATGTAGGTGAGGAGGTGGCTTCAGAGAAGAGCATGTCATGCCTAGATGACCCAGAGAATCCACATGGGAATGGGGACTGGAATTTCAAACTTGAAGTTAGTGCAGGGACTAGGGATCATGTACCCCAGGATCAGACAGCCAGGTTCTGCACTAAGTAGCAATGTGACTTTAAACAAGTTATTTGTCTCTTTCTTGATCTATAAAATAAGGGCAATAATATCGCCTAAATCAAAGCATTAGGATGACTAAATGAAATATATAAACTCCTGAGCACAGTGCCTGTCATGTTAATTTTTATTAATTATTATTATTTTCATCATAACAGAAAGGTAAATGTGTAATACTTGTAAAGTCCATTGATTTTTCCCAAAAAGATTACAAGAGAAACAAATCTCAACTGTTTGTATTGCAGCTTCTTGCTTGATTTTGTAATATCTGTTTTATCCTCAATACCTTTTTTCCCACACCCTAAAAGACAGAGTATTTATACACATTTTGTTTTGAGAATTTTGTTCTGTGCTTAGGATAAGAAAAAAATCATCAGAGTTAAGAATACATGTTACTGTCCTGGTGTATTTTGAAAAACTAATATAATTGCTTATGTTTTTCTCATAGGAAAAATATGTAGGATTTACTTTTTTCTAATTGGAGATCTCAATGAATGATAAAAATTAATGCCCTGCAATGTAAGAAGTCAAATTATAGAGTGAGACTATGAAATTCAATGCCATTATAGGAAATAAGAAAGAGGATACAGTAGGTGGAAGCATTAAACATGTCCTGGTAGAATAAACCACATTCTTGAAGTGAAATAAGAAGTAAGAGGAAGATGTTTGAAAATAGCCTTAACCCAAGAGAAGAGGGAAATGTATGGAGGCAGAGTGGGGATATTTAAGGGGATAATTATTCCAGATGACTTCCATATCCTATATTATGATTTTCTTATGTCTTTTAATATAGATGCCTTATTAGAGGAACTGGAACGCTCCACCCTCCAGGACAGTCATGAATATTCCAGTCCAGCTCCTCTTCCCCTGGATCAGCATTCCAGAAAGGAGAGTAACCTTGAGGAGGCATCAAAGATCCTTTCTGTTCAGGATGACACAAGTCCCTTGCGGGTAACTTTTCATTTATTGGAATACCTTGAATATAGATGTTCGAGTGCATTTCTGAAAATTAATTGTATCTCACATAAAATGATGTGAAAGGAGAATCATATATCCAGGAAAGAGAAAAAAAATCCCTCAATGATAACTTGTTTTTTCTTAAAGATTGGCACCTGAGCTAACAACTGTTGCCAATCTTCTTTTATTTATTTATTTTTTTGCTTTTTCTCCCCAAATCCCCCCAGTACATAGTTGTATATTTTAGTTCTGGGTCCTTCTAGTTGTGCTATGTGGGATGCTGCCTCAACATGGCCTGACGAGCAGTGCCATGTCCGCGCCCAGGATCCGAACCAGTGAGACCCTGGGCCACCGAAGCAGAGTGCGTGAACTTAACCACTCGGCCATGGGGTGGACCCCCCTCAATGATAACTTAAAGGTCTTTGTTTTTGGAAAGAGGAGGAAAGTTGAGAAACTCATTATAAAAGAATAAGCCTTTGAGAACTGACTTTTTTCTGGTGAGGGCATGATAACAGAGACTATTCCCTAATTCATTTGGGATATTCTGATATTACTGTTAGGGCATCAGAGATGCATGCTGCAGTTTGTCTGGAATAGCACTTGATCAGGCCAGAAATCACCTGCAAGTCCAGGTGGCAGCTCAGACAAGTGTTCTTAGGGTGACTTTTTAGGGTCACCACTTCCCAGGTCTTACTTGCTGCTATATATATTAGAAAATTCAATTATTAGAATATCCAGAGATGATGAAGCTCAAGAGAACAAACAAACATCTCATAAGAGATGATGTATAAAAAAATCCAGAAATCCAATTTATTAATTTCTAGTTAGAGTTAAAACTATCACATAGAACAGATACTAGTATTTGCTAATATATGTATTCATTTCCTATAGATAAGTCTACGTGTATCTACTTTATAATTAGAAAGTTGTTTGATGAGAATGGAATTAGTGTAAGAGGAATTAAGTAGATGCTGTTTGTATCTGTGAGTTTTGAACTATGATGTTCTGATTCATGCTTATACACTACATGAAATCACTAGTAGCACAGACCTGAAATTGGAGCCCAAGGGTAGGTTCCTCTTTTAGCTTTTCTTCCCTCCAGCTATATGCATGCAGTGTTAAGGATGCACATCTGTCTCTCTACTAGGGAGCTGTTGTGTGTTCTCACTGCTAGATTGTAGCCAGAGACTCCAAACCGGTCCCTTATCCTGCCTCCCTGCGCTTTATTCTCCAAATAGAAGCCAGGATGATCCCATAAGAGTTAAATCAGATCATATCCTTCTTTTACTGAGAGCCCTGCAATGAATTTGCATCTCATTTGGAGTAAAAGCCGTGATCTTTTCCCTGACCTTGTGTGGCAACCGTATATCTTGCTTCACTTGGAAGAGCCCCAGGTTTGTTTGTTTTCTTGACATTCTATTATTGGCTTTACCTTTTACCCCAGGTTTTCTATTATTTATGAAGTTTTCTTATTAGTGTTTGAGTTAAAGTAAACCAGCATCGGTTAATAGACCTCCATTTGGTTCTTCTGGCTTCTTTCATGGTCTCATCTAGTAGCATATAAAACACACATGCAGTGAACAGAGTTCTTATTTCATTATGGCTAAATCCAAAAGATGACTAATGATAACTTGTCTCTGTTTTCCTGATCTAGTTCAGACAAAACCTAACTGATAGCACCCTTTCAAGGATAATATGCAGGGTGCTGGCTGTGAAAGCTGAGGTCAAGCACAGCAGTCAGGAACAGCTAACTCTGGTCCTAGGTTGTGGCAGGAAAGATTTTGAGGCTTTTTCCCCTTGTGGCCACTTGCTATACCTTTGCTCATGCCTTGCCATGGTCCATGTGGTGGCCTGTGAGATGCATGGAACGTCCTCTGGGTCAGAAAGAAATAATGGGAAATTGTAGCTTAATGTTGTACAAATTATATGTAGGAAATAGAGGCTAAGCAGTCTTGCCATAGAGTAGTGTAATCTAAATGTTCTTGTTAAAGCATTTTTGTCGTTAATTGTATGTGTAATGCTAGAACTATTTATTATTTAGTAATGCTTTTTAATTTTGGAATAAACACATTTAGCAGCATTTGGCTCAAACCGAAACCAAAACCCAAATTGCATGTTTAATTTTCTTAAGAAAGTTGATGACAAATGTGTAGTTTGCACAAAATATTTGTTAACATTTACTGTCTGTCATGGGGACAAAAGAGATATCACTGTTTCTTTCAAAACCAGAAAACACAAATATGGTGAAGAAGCATTATCTTCTTCAAAAGTTAATATTTAATTTAAGAAGAGTGTGCCTGAAGATGACAATTCAACATGTGCAGCTGCAGGAGGTGTGTTTATATGTCATTGTGAAGCACACCTTTCAGTTTATATCAAGTAAATTAATTTTACTCATTTTCAGTTTCAAGTTTTCTTGTGATTGTAAGTAAAGTGAGCTGGTGAGAATTAATGAGTTGATCTCTTTTGCAAACCATCAAATAATGTCAGATTGATATCAGAGGCCTATGTTAGAAAATTTGTTAATTGCAAAATGGTTTAATTTTTCATCCAGTTCAAAGTGTCAAAAAAAAGTAGTTAGAAGTTCATTTTTCTGTTGAAAATGAAACATCTGGCATTTTTAATGCCTTTGTAAATTTAGTTGAAATGTTCAACAATGAAGATAAAATGTTCTTTGGAGGTGATAATACGAATACAAATTTTGGTGGAGCACAGCATTGCGGTAAAAACTTACAAACTTAAAAACCTATGGAGCAAAAATATACTTTGAATTGGTTGTGATGTGCACAAAATTCATGACTGCCTCCAAACAAGTTGCAATGTTCTACCAATCAAAATGGAAACTACAATTGTCAAAATTTACAAATATTATGTATATATACCTATGTATCGCACACATATACATAACATATATATACACACACAATCAGATATAACTCATCTCCTAAACTTTTGTAACTGAAGCTGATGTTGAATCTAAAAATATTTCAGCATGGCTGCGTATATTTTCTCTCTGTATTGCCTGTCATCAGCTGGAGTTTAGAAAAGCCTGAGCCTTTGAAAAAATCACTTTGTAAAGCAACCTAAATTTAGGTCACATTATGTGCAAAATCAGTTAGAAATGTTTAATCAGATTATTCAATGAATGAAACATGAGAACTCGGCTTTTGAAGCTTTTAGCAAGTTGCAATTATGTGAAACAAAGCTTGCAAAAAGGAAGCAGCTCACATTTCTCCCTGCAAAAGCTGGGGAGGAACTGAGCAAATCAAAAGATGAGAGCTCAAAAGGTTTAATTACCTAATTTGAAAATTGTACTTTGTGAAAAATCTTGACTTTGACAGAGCTCCTAATTTTAATTGGATAAATTTGTATTCTCTGCAAGAATGGGATAAAATTGTGAAGGCCTATGATTTTACAGTATTTACATTTGATGAAATCTTAAAAAGGATCAAAAATAGAGACAATTTAAGAGGTCTGTCTTGTAAAAATATTCCTGAAGAAAGGTGCTCTGAGTGGAGGCAGAAATAGAGCACCTGTGAAAATATTGGGGCTGAAATATTTACACATTTTAATATAAAAAATAGAATTGAGAATATCATCCATTCAGAAGGAGTGGCTCTGAATTAATAGGTTCATCAGCATCCAGAGAGGGAGTATTTTCTCAATTAAAAATATCACGGTCTACAGAGAAGCATTAGGTAAAAGTGTCCGCAATTTCAAATATATTAACCATAGAACGCAACTTTGCAGAAGATCACAATTTTATAAAAAAATATGAAAATAAATAAGACCATATTGGATAAAATACTTTTTTCAGAAAAATTTCCACATCATAATATTAGAGACAACAATGACTGAGTAACCAAATAAGGTCTGTAATTATTGTGCTATTTTTAAATGTTCAGATAATCAATACAAAAACTTTTTTTTTTCATTTTTTTTTATTAATGTTATGATAGATTACAACCTTGTGAGATTTCAGTTGTACATTATTGTTAGTCATGTTGTGGGTACACCACTTCCCCCTTTGTGCCCTCCCCCCACCCCCCCTTTTCCCTGGTAACCACCGATCAGATCTCCTTGTCAATATGTTAACTTCCACCTATGAGTGGAGTCATATAGAGTTCGTCTTTCTCTGACTGGCTTATTTCGCTTAACATAATACCCTCGAGGTCCATCCACGTTGCTGCGAATGGGCCCATTTTATCTTTTTTTTATGGCTGAGTAGTATACCATTGTGTATATATACCATATCTTCTTTATCCGATCATCAGTTTCTGGGCATGTAGGTTGGTTCCACGTCTTGGCTATTGTAAATAATGCTGCGATGAACATAGGGGTGCAAGGGATTCTTGGGATTTCTGATTTCAGGTTCTTAGGATAGATACCCAGTAATGGGATGGCTGGGTCATAGGGTATTTCTATTTTTAACTTTTTGAGAAATCTCCATACTGTTTTCCATAGTGGCTGTACCAGTTTGCATTCCCACCAACAGTGTATGAGGGTTCCTTTTTCTCCACAACCTCTCCAACATTTGTCATTCTTGGTTTTGGATGTTTTTGCCAATCTAACGGGTGTAAGGTGATATCTTAGTGTAGTTTTGATTTGCATTTCCCTGATGATTAGTGATGATGAGCATCTTTTCATGTGTCTATTGGCCATCCTTATATCTTCTTTGGAGAAATGTCTGTTCATGTCCTCTGCCCATTTTTTGATCGGGTTGTTTGTTTTTTTGTTGTTAAGCCCTGTGAGTTCTTTGTATATTATGGAGATTAACCCTTTGTCGGATAAGTGGCTTGTAAATATTTTTTCCCAATTAGTGAGCTGTTTTTTTGTTTCAATCCTGTTTTCCCTTGCCTTGAAGAAGCTCTTTAGTCTGATGAAGTCCCATTTGTTTATTCTTTCTATTGTTTCCCTCAACTGAGGAGTTATAGTGTCCGAAAAGATTCTTTTGAAACTGATGTCAAAGTGTGTACTGCCTATATTCTCTTCCAGAAGACTTATTGTTTCAGGCCTAATCTTTAGGTCTTTGATGCATTTTGAGTTTATTTTGGTGTGTGGTGAAAAAGAATGGTCAATTTTCAATCTTTTGCATGTGGCTGTCCAGTTTTCCCAGCACCATTTGTTGAAGAGACTTTCTTTTCTCCATTGGAGGCCCTCTGATCCTTTGTTGAAGATTAGCTGTCCGTAGATGTGTGCTTTTATCTCTGGGCTTTCAATTCTGTTCCATTGATCTGTGGACCTGTTTCAATACAAAAACTTTTTAAAAAAATATTTTGCTTTAATGTTCATAACTGTGTATCATTTGAAAACATTCTGGAACATTCTATGTTGCAAATAAGTTTTGAATAGAATTATTTTATAGGTCTCCCAATATAATAAAATCAAAATTTTGGTCAATAAATAGGTATTTCAAAAATTATATAATATTGATTATTTTTAATACCATCTTTCACTCTCAGAAGGATCACAGTTGGAACAATAAATTATATGGTCACCCTACCTGCATGATCTGACTCCTTTTCCTCTTTGCCCCTGTCTCACTGGTTCACTCTGCTCAGGACACACTGGCTTCCTTTCTGTTCCGCTGATGCTCCGGAGTTCCTCTCCCTGCTGTTCTTTCTGCCTGGACCATGTTACCCCTGATATCTATATGCTTTCCTCATCTCCTACCGGCCCTTGGTGAGTCCTTCTCCAATCAATATATTTATAATTGCCATCTCTCCCCTGTTTCCTATCTCCCACTCCCTGATTAGTTCTACGTATTAATTATTTTTTTATATATTAATTTGCTTATTACCTGGTTCTCACCACTGCAATGTAAAGTCCAGGGTAAACAGTTTTTGTTCATTTGTTTTGTTTTGTTTTTTTGACTTCTACAGCCCCAGCCCTGTTACATGACAGGCACTTGATAAATATTTGTTCATTAAATAAATGAGTTGCTGACCAACTACCCTTTAGAGTCACACAATATTTCTTTTGGTGTGTTAAATTTAATCCTGTTATAATCTTCCCCTAGACACTGGCCTGTCTAGTTAAAGGGGCTTTGCTCTGGCTCATTTTGCTTAGTTCTTATCTGGGTATGATGACTTCTCTATTTGAGTGCTACCAGGGCAGGGAGGGGACCACCATTATTTGTTCATGTGCCAGCGACTCTGCTTAGAATTTGCCCTTTCTCTGTGGGACGGCTGGTGTTTCCCTGCTTTATGAAAGGAGATCTCAGAGATATGCTCACTATCGGTCTCCTTTAGAAGCTAAAAACATCCTCTAACTCTGGGTGCCGACATTCTAAGAACAGAAATTCATTCTTTGCTCTTCTCTGTCACTATGTCTTAGGTGCAGCTCGTGTATACTACCAATATCCAGGAGCCCAATGTCTACAGGTATTGGTTTTTTTTATTAAATACTTAAAGTTATTAGATAATTGTTATCAATCTGTGTTTGGACAATAATTTGCTTTGCAAGTGTTTATTATTAGAACTCCTACTACTCTCCTCCTCTTTCCATAGTCTTTGAACACAGGTGGAATTCTGCCAGGCTGACTTGGCAGTTTCTCCAGGTGCCTGGCTTCTGGATGGGTGTCCAGGCTGGTGGGCTAGCTATTTCCTTCACCACCTGAAAAAGTGGAAATAATCCAAGTCACCACAGATGTTTTGGCTCAGCTATACCAGATATTGTGCTCTGATTCACAGAAGAGAAAAGACCTAAAGAAATTTCAGAAAGTTGCCAACAAAATCAGAGCTAAAATCAGGGCTGATCTAAGACAGTGGATCTCCACGGCAGGCTCATGAATATATACTTCTTCTTTCTGTATTTCCTCAAAATTTATTTAGCGGGTGGAGGGATTTCCTTTTAATAAAAGTTACATATTGACACAGATCCATGTCCTAATCATTTCTACTGACCAAAGCAGAATTGACAATCTCAAAAAAATAAAAAGGCCACTTTTCTTGTTCTCTCTTTAGTTACAGCTTGCAATTTTGAAAATCAGAATTCTGGGCAACAAAGGGCTTAAAATGTATCTAATAAAGGCTCATGCTTGGTAAAGGGTGCAACACTACACTGATCTGGTTTCAGAATTGCAACCAATGGAGCATGCATACACCACCAAAATAGGAGAAGGACCTATGCTATCAGGAAGTCTGTTTTATAACTTTCCACTTCAGGGCACTTTCTACTTTGCTGGGGGTAAGGTCAGTTTATTAATATATATTGCCAGTTTATTTCAGTTCCAGGAAGTTACCTGGTGGGCATGCCCCCTGGACCTCTCTGTCTCTCCCCCTCATAAATAAATCAAAACAACAACAAAGCAGTGCTTGGTACACAATAGGCTTTCAGTAAATATTTGGTTTTTTAAATCTAGGAAACCGAGACTTTTAATAGAAATACTAATGAACACATGAACATATAACAAGAAAATCATCCCAACCAACAGCCATTTTCTTGTTTATCTGGCATTGTGAGCAATTGATGGCATGCCAATACTAACTTATTGACACTCCCTCCCCTGTAGTATGAGTCTTTGGCCTATTTCCCACCAAATTCGTTTCTTCCTCTTCTCTTGCTCTGCTGTGTATTCCTGGGGAGCTGACCACTCTGTCCACTGGATTTTCCAGGCTTCAGGGTCAGTTGCTTTTTGCTGGCATCAACAAGTAGGAGGCACTGTGCAGAGACTGGAGGATGAAAGGCAGGGCAATTTAGGGCATTTGCTTGCTCAATCTCTGTCTCTCCACAGTGTCTCTCAGCAGTTATATCTCCTTTGTGGCTTCAGCTGGAGCAAAACAGGTCTGCTGTGGTTCTGGCTTATGCCTGTTGACCTGGGCCCCTGGGCTCTGGGAACTTTGCCTCATTTCTTCCTCCCTTTGACCTAATGGCTTCCTGCTGTGGTTAATCTCTGGGTTCCCTCAATGTCTTCTGTTTGCTTCTGAGCTCTCCCATCACCTGTGTAATCAAATTTCTGATTAAATTCCTTCTGTTTACTCCCAGTGTTTGTATTTTCCTGAGTGGACATTGACCAACACACTTCTCATTACTGAATGATACTTGCTGTGTAGGTCTGTGTGGGAGAGTGATATGAAATACAGGTGACCTGGTAAATATGTAGTAGACTGATACAAATCCTAAGGCTGGTATAATTCAGAGCTCACAAGGCTGGCATGTGCAGATAGAGCATGAGACTCAGAAACTAGATTCCTGCATTCTTTTTCCATCATTTTCTCTGGCTTGCTTAAATAAATGGGACATTGCTTTCAACCTTGAAAGTGTATTCAATACCAGTTGTGAATATAGCAATGTAATGATATTTCTAAAGTAGTTATATATCAGTAGCAATATGAACAATAATTTTGAAAGTATCTTTTACATGAACAAAAACAGTTTTGGTAAGAATAGGGAAAAACAATTCATAAAAATATTACAGGGGAATGAATGGGGGAAAAAAACTCAGCACAATGAAGTCCTCCACTTGAGAAGTCTGGATTCTTTTAAATGCATCTCTTGTGATTTGTGTTGTTAAAATCTCTGAGTAATGAAGTAAGTTGTGGCTGAGGGTATAGCAAAACACCTTTACCGTCTTCAAGAGTTCAGGGAAAAAAATCACAGGAGCTCTGACTTGAGGTTCCTCTCTTCAGGAACATTTCCTGTAGTGATGTAATCATCTACTCTTCAAGGTCTCTCCTTTCTTGTTTAGAATATCATATTGTCAACTCAATTACTATTAGGGTATCATGACGATGATCTATTTCTCTTTATACACTGCACTAGGAGTTTAGTTAGAAACCAGTGAGAATTCTTTGAATAAACACAAGTATGCCCCAACTGTGAGATGGACAAGATTATACAGACCCATACAGGAAACATTTATTCTATGCTGGGGCACAGGGCAGAAGAATGTGCTCACAGTCCAGCTGCCTTTCGTACTTCTATGACACACACCTGTGGCAGAAATTACTAAGGGATTATGACTGAAAAGAGTTGTGAGGGAGAGCTCCTTTGCACTTTCTTGAAAACCTCCAAAGACTGACTCAATCACTTGCATACCTCACCATTTTTGTTCCCAGATTAAAAAGAAAAAAAATCTTAAGGTCTGGCAGGAGGCCGTGTTGTACCTAAAAGACAAAGTCTTTAAGAAGTGAAGACATCCACTTTCCTCCTACATTTTCCTTGTTGTTAAATACTCAGACATAAGTAAGTCACTAGTGGGACATGTTGACCCAAAAGACCGTTTGTTTTTTCTTAGGAAAGGAAGATATCCATTTTCCTTCTACATTTTTCCTGGTTGATAAATACTTAAAAATAAGTAAAGTAGTAAGTTTATGTTTTCGGTTTTGAAAATATATTTAGTGAAAGACTTGGAATAGTTGGTCTGTTTATGACATTGTGTGTGTGTGTGTGAGAGAGAGAGAGAGGGAGAAAGGGAGAGAATCAGTGTCAATGTCAGTTTGGTGGGTTGTCAGCTAACTTCTCTTGGTCATTGTTGATTATAAACTTACTCTAGAGTCAGTTACCTGTGTGTGATCCAGCGGTTCCACTTCTCAAAATTTACTCTATGGAAATAATCAAATATGAGTGCAAGTATTTATTTAGCAGTATTTATTATAAAAGCAAAAATCAGAAATAATGTAGGTGTCTAACAGTAAATGATTGGTTTAATAAATTATGGTATATTATACATTTGAAAATTATGTAGCCATTAAACATCATTTGGAAGGTAGTTTAGCATAGTGATAAAGAGTAACTCTGTTATTTACCAGCTATATTATGTAGAGCACCATTTTTAACTTCTCTAAGCCCCACTGTTTTCATCTGGGGGTGACAATACATGGCTCTTAAGGTTATGAGGATTTAAAGAGGACACCACTAAAACCCTTTACAGAGGGTCTAGCATAGTGTAGACACTCAATAGATGCTATCTATTGTGGTTGCAAAGGATGGATAGGGATATGAAAAAGTGTTCACTTTAAAACATGAAAAAAAATCCTAATTTTCTAAAATTGTATACAATCATAGAAGAGTGTAATGATATAAGCCAACATGTCCAGAGTAATCAATTGCCTCTCAAAAGGGGGATTATGTGTGGTTTAAATTTTTCTTTATATTTTTCTGCAGTTTAAAAATTTTCTACACTTACATTAATTTTATATTTAAAAATATTTTTTAATAAAAACTATAACACTGTGACTATATTAATGTACTTTACTGAAGGTTGTTCATAGAGTTATTATACCTGAATATGTACATGTGTATACATGAGAACTGAACTACTGATGGATGCCTCATTTGCCCCCCCATCACCTTGTCTGTTGGCCGTGCACATGAGCTCTTTTTCTAGTACAGATGACCTTTGTTTTAAAAATATAACTTATATGCAATTATTTTATAAACTCATGTGTATAAAAAAGTCAAAGAAGTACCCTCTGTTCAATACTGCTGTGAACCTAAAACTGCTCTAAAAAATAGTGTCAAAATAAAAGTCAAAGAATTCAGACCATGTAGACTCTCATTCCTCCCACCACCTATTTACTAGCCCTCTAGGTTAACTGCTGTCAGGTGTGTCTCCTTACAGACCTTTGTGTATGCATATTCGCACTAATGTATATGTGCATATGTGTTTACATAAAATGAAGGGTATTTTTCATATTGTTGTGGGCTTTGCTTTTTGAAGTTAACAATGTATCTTATAAGTCATCCTTAGTTCGTATAAATCTATGCCTACATTCATTTTAGCAGCTTCATACTATTCTATAGCATGGAGGAACCGTAATTTATTTGACTCTATCTCCATTTATTTTATTTAAAATTTGCTCATAAAAACTGTACTATTTTTATGTTTTAAGGAACGTCTTTGTACATATATCTTAGTAGATATTTCCAATTTTTCTGTAGAATGGAGTCTTGAAAGTGAAATTGCTGAATCCAAGGATATGTATATTTGAAATATTACTAGATCCTGCTTTGCAAAGGATTTTATAAATTTACATAGCTACTTGTAAATATATATGTATATATATAATCCTGACTTTTGCCAATACTGCTTATTATCAATCTTTCAAAATTTTGACTAATGGGTAAAAAATTGATATCTCGTTTAATATTCATATTAAAGATTGAGAATAAGCATGTTTTTATGTAGTAATAAACATTCAAATTTCTTTTTCTGAAACCTGCTTTTTTAAAAAAACTCCTTAGCTCAGGTTTCTGTTGGGTTGTCTTTTTATTATTGATTTATAGATGTCCTAATATTTGAATATTATTTATCTTCTTTTATTTATGTTTAAATTGTTTTTGAAATTATCTCTATTGACATTTTTTCTTTTTTGACTTCACTTTAGAGTTGTATGCCTTTCTTAGGAAGGTCTTCATCACCCCAAATTATAAAAAATGTCTTCCATTTCCTTCTAGAATTTTTATGTTTAAAAATATTTGTATCTTTAATTCACTTAAAACTTATTTGTTTGTATTGTGTTACAGATCTAAATTTATTGCGTTCCAAATAGACTGCCACACATTTTGAGTTGAATAGTCTGTTTCTGATTATTTGAAATGCCACATTTACTGTATGCAAAGTTCTCATAGGTACAGGAGTGTTTCTGGGTTCTCTGTTCTACTCCTTTGATATATTTGTCTGTTTCTTTAACAACATCACTCAAATTTACTTATTGTCATTTTATAGGAGAGCATATCTATTGAGAGAAGTCTTACCTCTTCATCTTTTTTTCTTCAAAATTTTCTTTCGTGTTCTAGAGCTTGAATTTTACCATTAGCTTATTAATTAACTTGAATAATTCTATTAGGATTTTTATATGAATTCCATTGAATTTATAGTTTAATTGGGTGAAACTAACATTGTATTATGTGTCTTCATTTATGTGGGTCTTCTTTTACTTCTGCCAGTGGCTTTTCTTCATAGAAGTCTTGCACGTTTCTGGCTAGATTTATTCTCTAATATTTTTAAATTGTTTTGTTGGTATTGTGAACACGTTCTTTTTTTCCAATTGGATTTTCAGATTGGTTACTGCTGGTTTATAAGAAAGACACCAATTATTTCATTTTATTCTTGTATCTGGTAACCATCCTGGTATTTTCTCTTCATTCTAATAGTTCAATCATTTATCTTATATTTTCTAGGTAAATGATCATACCGTCTATTTACAAGGAAGTAGGAGGGAAAGTGCTTTAGTTTTTTCTTTGAAATGTATAAATCTTATTGTTACTTTTAAATGAATTTGATAATGCATTCTGGAATAGTATTGAAGACCAGCAATGATAGTAGAATCCTTGTCCTCTTCTCAATTAGAAATGTGTTTATTATTTGACTCTTAAATATGAGGCTTGTTATAAATTTTTTATAGACATATTTTATCAGGTTATGGAATTTTTGTTCTTTTCCTCAATCTTCAACAAGAGGAACATGGTTGAATTTATTTTCAACTGCTTTTCAGCATCTATCAATATGTTTATAAAATCTTTCACTTATTTGTTAGTATAATGAATTATATAAATCCTTTTCATAAAGTTGAACCATCCTTGGATGACTGGTGTAGACACTGCCTAGCCATGATGATTTTTAAACACGTTTCTACTATTTTAATTTAAGCTTCTCTCTCTTTCGCCCTCTGTCTCTGTCTCTCTCTCACAGACACACACACACACACACACACACACACACAAACACACACAAACAGTTCTCTCCTTGTCTGGTTTTAGTATCAAGTTTCTGCAATATTCCTAGAACTTATTGGGTGATTTTCCATATTTTTCTATGTACTTGAAAATTTATATAATGCTTCTAAAAAACTATCAGGTTTTTTTTGTTTTCTGTTTCATTAATTTATGCTTTTATGCCTTCTGTTTAATTATTTTAGTCTTTGTTTATTTTTGGACTCTTAAGTTGGATATTTTGTTTATTTGTTTCTGAGCTTTCTTATTTTTCAATATTGCACTTAAGTCTGTTTATTTTCCTTTCAGTAACATTTTGCTTTCAACTCGAAGAAGCATATGTGTATGTGTGTGCATGATCTCATTACTATTTCTAAGTAGTTTTAAAATTCTGTTTATTTTTTTCTTCATCCCAAGAATTAATTAGAAGTATTTTATTTTTCCTTAAGTGGATAGTTTTTTTTAACAGTTAATTTGTACTTTCAGTCACTGCAATCTAAGAATATGTTCTGTATGGTTGACTTAGAATTTATTGAGCTTTATTTTATGTCCTTATACATGGTTAATTTTGCTAATGATTGTGCAAGTATTTGAAGAATCTGAATTTTATTTCTTGGGTCCAAAATTTTATTGATCAATAATTTATTCACAATTATATGGATATGAAACCAGCATCGTATAGATTATCTAAACTCTATCAGGGCGCTGCAGACTTTTCCTGTAAAGGGCAGATAGTAAATATTTTAGGCTTTGTGAACCATAAGGTGTTTGTCACAACTATCCAACTCTGTAGGAAAACAGGTGTACACAGTGTGTAAATGCATGGGCATGGCCAAATTTGGCCCATAGGCCTTAGTTTGTTGAGGCCTCTTCTATATTCTTATTTATTTTTTGTCTTTTGCCTGACAATTACTGAGAGAAGATATAATACTTTATAATTTAATAAAAGAATGCTATTAAAATAGTACACATTGAACCATGGCCTTAAAGCTGTTTTCAGAGGCTGCTTTGCATCTGGTTGTTGGGAGAGAATGGCTGCCCACCTACATGTGCAGCACTTTCCTTCATGCACTTGAGAACAATAGTCAGTTTTTGAGATGACCAGTTGGAGACTTGGAGACAAAAGGCAGGGAAACCTTATTCAGAGTTTTCGTCTAGTACCTATTTTTTAAAATACGTACTTGCTGTCTCTAGTTTTACTCACATTTAAGGGGTTAATAGCTAAAGCTGCATTTTCTGGTATTTTATGTATGGCTTAACATTTATTTGAGTTTTGATGTGTTAGAATGATTTTTTTTTATTTCTCTCCATAGTGAGGTCCAAGAGCCAAAGGAATCACCACCACCTCCTAAAACCTCAGCAGCCGCTCAGTTGGATGAGCTCATGGCCCACCTGAGTGAGATGCAGGCTAAGGTGAGCACAGTCCCTGTGGTGAAGCTTCCAGCGTTTATCTCTGTGGAACTCAGCTCTGCCTTCCCCCTTTAGGAATTCTTCTAAGTTGTCATTCATTTTCCCGGACTAAATTTAATTCAACAGATGAACTCAAATTTGTGCTATGTATTATCTGGACGCAAAAGATAGTATGATACAGCCTCTGATCTGAAGGAGCTTGGAGTGTGCTTGGTAAAATGAAGCATAAGTCTCTGTAACATTTACAGAATAAAAGACAGGTGGTTTTTCAAAAAATATGTGGAGCAAACATTAAGAATGTAGAGAGGTCAAGGAGATTTTGTCAGAGGTGGGGATGGGATGTGGGATGGTAACTCTGGAGAATGGAAAGCGTTTGGATGCAAAGAGATGAGAGAGGAGGTCCTTTTAGTTGAAGTGAGCCCTGAGAGCATCAGCATCTAAGACTGGATGAAGTGTAGCAGGACTGTTAAAGAGACCTGCCTGAGCAGGATGGAGGAGACCTGTGGGCAAGCTGGGACAGAGCATGAGAGATCAAAGTGTGGCATTGAAAGTAGGACGGATGAGGATTCCTAAGCCCCATGTTGCAGTATAACCTGCCTCCTTGTTCTAGCCTCCAGAGCATGAGTGTTGAGCTCGCATGGCCTGGCAGGGAAGGAAAATCAGAGAAGTTGGCTTAAAAATGTATTAAGGGAAATATAATCTAGAATTCTTAAGGTAGGGAGTCCAACCATTTTAAATTGTTTGGGGGATTTGATATGTACGTGTGAGTGACGATGAAGTAATTTCAAGGCAGTATATAAAAATGTGTATGGGGACTGACCTGGTGGCACAGCGGTTAAGTGTGTATGCTCTGCTTCAGTGGTCCGGGGTTTGCCGGTTTGGATCTGGGGTGCGGACGTGGCACCGCTTGGCAAGCCATGCTGTGGCAGGCGTCCCACGTATAAAGTAGAGGAAGATGGGCGTGGATGTTAACTCAGGGCCAGTCTTCCTCAGCAAAAAGAGGAGAATTGGCAGCAAACGTTAGCTCAGGGCTAATCTTCCTAAAAAAAAAACAAAAAAATGTGTATGATTGGGGGAGACAGGAACCTTATCTTTGTGGGTCACCTTTGGACTCCCAGCACAGTTCCTGACACATTGTGAGTAATACATACTTATTAGAGGGACAAATGAATAAATGTCAGAAACAAATTTTCTTTCATGTTTACAGTAAAGCTGAGTGCATTCCTCATGGTGCTGTATATCAGAAACGACTAGGAAAAAATCTACATTAGGAGTTTTAATTGTGTTGTGTTTTCTAATTGATTTAACATGCTTTGGTTTATTTACATTTAAAAGATATTCTGTTTATTTTTTGAATAGGCCATGCATTCACATTGTGCAAAAACCAAAAGTACAAAAGTTTACAGTGAGCTGTTTCTCTATCAGCTCTCTTCCCGGCCATCGGTGCTGCCCCCTGGAGGTTGTCAGTATTTCTTACATAGCCATTTAGAAGTATTCTGAAATATACAAGCAAATAGTTACAGATGTAAATACAGACATAGATTTATATATATATAAAATTGTGTTATTACTTACTTAATATTGGTTGTCCTTTTAGGCCTTTGAGACATTAACCTTCTGAACACTAATGTCTTCCACATTAGGTAACATTATATAATAGAAAAGGAAGGAAATCTGTCAGATGATAAAAGTTTCTTGAAGGGAAATGAGCATTTCTGATTAGTGAGATAATGTGAGGTTATTCCTGGCAGTAAAAATAGGATATAGAGGCCTGAAGGCAGACAGTAACAGATCACATTCGGGAGACTGCAGGGAGCCTGGCTGGCCTTGAACAATGGAGGCTTTTGACTGAGTAATGAAAGAGGAGATTGGAAAGGCAAAGTGAAGACAGAGGGTGGGAGACTTTGAACGCCTGTCTGATGAGTGCAGATTTGATGCTGGAGGTTGTGGACAGCCATTGTAGTTTTCTGATCAGGAAGTATTAGGGAGATGGTAGCAGTGGCCCAGTTGGAAGGGAGTTGAGAGAGATGGAAGCAGGACACGAAGTGATGAAGGACAAGCTGGGTATCTTTTTTGTAATTTGAGGCTCTGTCTTTGAATGGTTTATAATAACTCTTTTAGAGTTTTGCTTTAATAAATCCAATCCACCAGCAAGTCTTACCTGACAACTTCTCACCACCTTCTCCCCTAACACTGGTCCAAGTCATCACTTCTGGTTTGAATTGTTGTAATAGTCTCCCTCCTGACTAGTACCGCTAATTCTACTCTTGCTTATCTGCACTTAATTCCTCACTCAGCTACCACAGGGATCTTGTAAATTAGATTCTTTCACTTTCATGCTTGAAATCCTCCAATGGCTCCATCACCCTTGGAATAAAACCCGAGTTTATTGTGAAGGCCTGATGCCGTCTTTGCCTCTCTCTCCATCTCTTCTCATACATGCTCAATCTCACTCCCCCTGCTCTAGCTCCACTGACCTATTTTACTTTTCTTCTAATATATCAAACTGTTTCCTTGCACCGGGCCTTCTTTCCTTCTGGAATGCTTTTCCTACAAACATCAATATTTCTGGGTCCCTAAGCATATCACGCAAATATCTGCACAAGTATCACCTCCTTAGAGGGCCTTCTCTGATATTTCCCACATCTAAGTCAATTCTTTCTCACCATCCCACCCTCTGTCACTTCCACCTCCGTATATAACTTATATCTTATCTATACCTGACATTACATCATATATTTACTTGTTAAATTGTTTATTATCTATCACCCAGAGAAAGTAAACTCCACGAGGGCGGCACTCAGTAGGCCTTGTGCACTGCTCTCTACCAAAAGTCTGGAGTAGTTATTGGCACAAACTAATTGCTCAATAAACATTGCAGAATAAATGAATGAAAAGAAGATATGATTAATTGTTGACCGATGGTTGTCGTAAGAACAAGAAAAGGTATCGTCTTCAGACACTCCATTTCCTATGGTCAGAAAAGATTTATAAATGGAGGAAGATTAATCAGATTTTATTTGGCCTGAGGAACTTAGAATGAAAGGAGGATGAAAACATTTTTAGTGGTGTTACAATGTTGGATTCTACCATGTCTTGAACAAAGGTTAGGGAAAGACTAAAGGATCAGTCAGTAGAGGTGAACTTACAGGATCATGCAGAAGATGCCAACGAGGGTAAATGTACATGAAACTGATTCTCTTCATGGTTCTTCCCTTGGTACCAGGCTGCAGTGAAACCAGATGTCAGCAAGAAACACTTGCCAGACAAACGGGACGACAAGGCCTCCCTAGACTCCATGCTGGGGGGTTTGGAGCAGGATTTGCAGGACCTTGGAATTGCCACAGTGCCCAAGGGCCACTGTGCTTCCTGTCAGAAACCGATTGCTGGAAAGGTGGGATAGGCCACAATGTTCGTCCTACAGCCGTCTGTCTGTGTATATGTCTGTCTCCGTCTCACCAAAGATTGCTTTATCTCCTTACATTCTAAGACGTTTTAGTAATAGTTAATAATAACTGATCCCTTACAGTGCTCCAGGCGCTGAGCTAAGTGCTTTATAAGAATTCCCTCATTTAATAGTCACATTAGCCCTTTAAGGAAGACTCTATTACCGTTCCCGTTGTAAAGATGAAGAAACTGAGGGCTCAGGGATGTTAACTGACATGTCCAAGGTCTAGTAAGAGGTAGAGGTAAGATTTGAACCCAGGAGAGTCTGATTCTCAAATTTGAGTTCTTAAGCATTTTTCTGTACTGCCTTTACTGAAAGGAACTTCTCACTGCTTCCTCTGTTCTGACAGTCTCAGTCTAAATTAATTGATTACAATTCAGCTGCACTCAGCTCCAAATCACAGCTACAGACTCCTGCTCCACATCACCCTTCACCAGAAACCATAATGAAGGGCTTTGATTCACGCATGGGGCATGAAATGACGTGTTCAGACCTGAGGAATGAAAACTGTCATTTGGCCTTTTCCTCTTCCAGGGATCCCTTCCATGCCAAGGCCATAGTATGTCTTGTTGGTCACTACTGTGCTCTGTTTTGTTTCTCCTACCCTCTGGGGCGGTGTAGTGGTAACAAACATTTACAGGCCTCTATCAGCATGATCACTCAGGAAACTGGGCACTCTTTTACTATCCATAAAGCATAGACAACAGTCGCATAGGTAGAACCTCAGCCTAGGCCTCAGCGTTGTATGACTCCAGGGGTGTCGTTGACAAGGAATGCTTGTGAAGAGTGCCTTTCAGAGTTGTGTAAGCTGTAGGCCCTAGAGCACTCAACTGGGTTCCCATGCTAGGTCTTATTTTGTCCTCCAGGTGATCTACGCTCTAGGGCAAGCATGGCATCCAGAGCACTTCGTCTGCACTCACTGCAAAGAAGAGATTGGCTCTAGCCTCTTCTTTGAGCGGAATGGCTTGGCCTACTGCTGCAAGGACTACCACCATCTTTTTTCTCCACGCTGTGCCTACTGTGCTGCTCCCATCCAGGATGTGAGTAAATCCCCCTTACCCCTGCTTTCATGTAGTATTTAATCACTCATTTAGAACCTAGAACCGGGATAGTGTTTACAACTCTGCTGCCTTCTAACATCTCTCTGTGTGTTCCTTTTCCAGAAAGTGCTGACAGCAATGGACCAAACCTGGCACCCAGAGCACTTCTTTTGCTTTCATTGTGGAGAGGTGTTTGGTGCAGAAGGTACACCCGGAACAGTTACAAGAATACCAGCAGAGCTTTTCCTTGACCTGCCACGGTGGCCTTGAGTCCTGCCCCTACCATCCAAGTGCCCATTTCAGTACTAGATGCCATCCCTCCCTACCTTTTCCCAACATTTATAAATTTTTTCTAAATTAGTTTTTTAAATCAAAGAAATATGAATACATAGTTTAAAAATCAAATATTACTTCAAGGGTAATATCGAAAAAGATTAGCTTTTCCTTTCTCTACCCTCAAATCTAGTTCTCCTTTCCAATTTCCAATTTTTTTAACTTTTTTTCTGTTATTTACTTGTGTGTTTTAAATAATATATTACTATAGATTTTTTTTCTAGTTTTAACCATTATGTTAATCTATCAGGGAAGATGAGAATTTAGAAATGTTGTTACTACCCCATCTTACCCCCAACGTATTTTCTCTCCCCCATTCTCTCAATATATAATTAGGTTATAATTACAGGTCAGATTCAGTGTGTACATGTTGACAACTATGGAAATACTGCTTATAATTGAGCCATGTAGCAAACTGTGATTACCATAGAGCAGAGATTTTAAAGTTAGATTGCCGACTTCAAATCTGGACTGTGGTATTTATTAGTCATATGATGTTGCTCAAGTCATTTAACCTCTGTGTACCTCACTTTTCTCATCAGTAAAATGGACCTAATAATAATGCTTACCTCATAGGGTCATTTTGAGGATTTTAAGATTACAATACCATTATAGTGTTTAGGATGGTGTCCAGCACATGGAGACATAGTAATAATTAATATTATTTTCTTGGTATCATTTTTATATAAATTAATTTTTTCCTAAAGTTAATATTTGGATTTCTTTTTCATTAGCTTAATTTTTGTTGTTCTTATCTATAATTTATCTGACAGAGCTGTGAAATCCTTCTCAAAATGATCTACTATATCTGGTAACATGTCATTTCCATTTGTTTTTTCTTGGAGACTTCCATCCTCCTTGCTCCAGTCTGAAATGGTTCCTCCTCAGGCTTGCTGACAAGTGGTATTCTGGACCGTTATCTTGGGAATTCCTTTTACTACTTTCTTCTCTGGATCCTTTGTTTCTTGGATCTCATGTCTCTTAATAAATGTTACTGTCTATATTTTGGTGGAGCACATCCTCAAGTGTAGCTCCCAAGAGTAGGATAGGAGGTAAAATTTTTGAGACCTTGAATCTCTGAAAATATTTTTATTCTGTTGTCTACTTTAAGTTTCCTGGGCATAGAGTTCGAGGTGGAAGCTATTTTCCCTCATAATTTTGAAGACATTGCTTCATTGTCTTCCAGCTTCCATAGTTGAGAATTTTTTGTTATTTTGTTCTTATTCGTGATCCTTTCAATGTGACCTGTTTTTCCCTCTTTGCAAGTTTTTTTTCTTCTGTTTTCTGAATTGTCTTGATTTTTTTCTACTACTTATGTTTCTTTTGAACAGATATGACTCATACATGGAATCAGAAAACTTCTTTATTTTGTCTTTTCCTGTCCTTTTAGAATTCACTCAGTGGGGAATGTTTGCTCCTCTCTCCTAAATAAAAATTTGGACAGTCCTGTGTCTTTTCTGATTACTCTTAATAAATAATTCTAAACAGAAAGTCAGTTTAAGACACAAAACACAAAACTAAGTCCTTAGGTAATTCAGTCTGTGTAATAGCTAAAGCTTCCAACTTATTTAGAGTCAGCTACTCTCTCCCCTGATAGGTCCTTTAAGCTGCAGGAGACCAGGGCAGGGGTTTATGGCCTTTTATCTGTCCTTTCCTGCCTTTGGCATCCACCACCCTCACTCCTATTGCTAATCCTGATATCTGATCCCTCCAGAATTGAAACAGGTATGGAAGGAGATGAGACTGGAGGGCACGAACGTTCTAACTTGTCTCTTGTCTCTGCTGTTATAAATTTGCTTTATACTCTCTGGGCCTGGCAGATGTTTAACTCTGACTTTTTTTTCTTCTTGGATGCTTTTATGGGTTCAATATAGGTCCAGTTGTAAACTCTTGATTGCTTTTCACATGCCTTGGCTGGTTGTTTCCCCGTGGCACATTTCTTTGAGGATCCATTTCACACAGGTTCTTTTTTGCAGGGTTTACATTGTTCCTCCTGGTGATCTCTTAGAAATGATTATAATTATTCTGGATCATCTCTTTTACTCACATTTTCATATACGGACCATGGGAAACTTGCACCTTCCTTGCACTCAGTGGGACTGAAGTTGATTTTCAGGTACATCTGTATAAAGGATGCCATCTCCTGTGGACTTTTTCCAAGGATGAGTCAAATACCATCAACCATATCTCACTAATGGCAGGGGACACATATCTAGCTCTCTGAGTAGTCCCATTGAAATTCCTCTCTTGGCCTGAGGTTAGCAGGAATCATACCTCATCCCTTTTGGAGGTGGTGTTCGAACACCCATAGCACAGTTTTCTCCAAAGAAATCCCTCTCTCAATTTCCCTTCCTCTTTATCTGTTTGTATCCTCAGCGTGAGTGAAGAGTTCAAGAGTTATGAAAACAGTTCATGGCTACTTTGAAGGATGTCTTGCAGCTCAATTTGGAATTTGATATCTATTCCATCTTGATTCCTTACATCTTGTTATATTTGTCTTTGCCCAATGCTGCTGGTCTTTGGTTGTCCATTTCCTTTTTGAGAATGAGACACTAAAATGCTAATTTGAAGCTCTGTGGATATAGGCAGAACTTGTTGACTGGTGGACTCAACTGTATGGTACTCAGATAGGATACTCTGGCCATTTTGCTGGAGGGCCCCTGAATATTAATATTTTAGTTATCTTGAATCAATTCTACTGAAGAGATGTTCTCTCCAACAGCATTATGAGAATTAAAAAAAGAGATTGGAAGATGGGGTTTTCACCATTTATCACATCAACTGTTATTTAATGCCCATTTTTCAGTAGAAAGCTTGACTTCTTTCCTTATGGTGCCCAGTACCCTGATCACTGAGATTCTCTGACTTGACATTTCCAGAATTAATCACTGTATCTTATGGTAGGGTGGGGGATCTGATCTCCTAACAGCTCTTCAGACTTGCAACCAACCAATCCTATTTCCAGCCTCGATGACTATTTTGCGCGTGCAGTTCCTGAACCCCTCTGATGTTATGAGCTCCAGATGGCTTGAATTTTATTGGCACCTCCCCTCTGTAGAGATATAGGTTTTAGTTTCCTTGTTTTTGCCAAGCTGGTTGTCACTCATGCTTACTTTAAATTTTGGAAAATTTTATTGGTATCTCATTTGTAGCATCTCTTTTTCTTTTCTCTTTTTCTTATGGGTTTTTCTGTTTTAAATAATTCTTTATCTGTCATGTTAGTAATGTTTCAAGAGTGAGTGAAGAAAATTCCACATGTTGAGTCCCTCACCAACATGGAAACTCTCCTAAATATCAGGCATTTTATTATGTATATTTCTAACTCTTGTTCATTTAATCCCCACCACAACCTTTAGAGAGTTATTTTATTCCGTATCTTACCTAGTTGCAGATGAAAACACTGAACCTCAGAGGTAAAGTGATTTTCTTACAGTCATACAACTAGAAAGTCAAAGAGATTTGAAATTTAAACTTGGGTCTTATTTCTGCAGGTTCCCTGTTTTTTCTACATCAAAACTGTCCTTTGATGGAGACTCGATTCTTCTTCTGCTACTGGATCTTTTCGCTTTCTTAGCACCAGTCTGATACATTTTATTTGAAGATAGAACTAGATCGAGCAGCACTGATAGAATCCACTAATACAGCGCTTTGTAGTAATTTACTTATTCACTGAAGCTTGTTCAGTGCTTTTCACAACTCATTAGGTCTTTCATTTCTAGATTGCACTTTAGTTAAGCCACATTTTTCATTGTGATTTGATCGAAAGCATATTAAAGTGTGTCATGGTTAAGTTTATATTGTATTGTTAGCCTCAGAAGCCTGAGAGTGACTTGAGTAGAACAGTCAGCAAGCGAACGGTGCCTGTGGGTGATTATGATGTAGAAGTTGCGTGAGAGCAGAACGACAGAATATAGACATATTTCAAACAGAAATTTAATTATATACAAAAGAAAAATTATCCTATCTGTAAGATGACCAGAAAGCACCATAAAGATACCTCGTTTTCACTGTTCTTGACTTAGGCCCCTTCTAAACAGACAAGGCTGATTGGGTCATTTATGACTTTACATAGATAGAAGCCACACATAAGACATATTTATTGAGACAACTGACAAAAAAGGCCATTTATTAATCAGAAGCTCCTCTTAAGCTGTATTTTTGCTTTTATCCTTCACTTTCTGTAAATGGGTCTCCTACTATATGGTTAGTCCATTAATTAGGTGGCATCCTGCCTTACCCTATGTCACATAGCTACACACAAAGTTTCTATAATGACAGCTTAGCCCCTGAGCCTCCTGGGAAATTAAATTCACCTGCATTTTTGTTTCAGTTCAGAAAATTATTCTTTGAGGCTCAAGTTTCTAAGCACATCAGGCCTTAGCATCCTCCCATAGGGACCAGGTCCTCGGTGCCTACGTCTTTCTTTTTAATTGTTCATTATCCAGGCCATGCAGGTGCTCCCTAATTCCCCCTGTGGTTAAGAGCCTCACAAGAGTGTAAATGCTCTCCCTCTCCCTGTGACACTTTTAATTGTTAGTGTCTCTCATCCATCCTCCAGAGGTAATTGGCCCCAGAGAGCCTCTAGGAAAGTAAGTGCTGAAACTTTCTCAATTTATTGGATTACTGAATGCAAGGGTATCACAGCAAGTTTGGCTGATTGCTTTTAATTTCTCTCCCAGGACTCACCTAGTTGAAACAGAGGCTGTTACTTCCCTGCTGTCTCATTCTTGAGATCAGCTACCCTGCAAATGCCTAGATGAGGGTCATTCCTGGGTCAGTTGGCATGTCTTATAATTTTCTCAAGTAACACTTAACTTATAGGCAAGCTCAGTTTTATTTCATTTATTTTACGAAGCATCAGCATCACTTGGGGACTCCTCAGAAATGCAAATTCTTTGGCCCCATCCCAGACCTACTGAATCAGAAACTCTGAGGATAGGACCCAGAAATTTGCATATTGACAAGCTCTCCAGGTGATGGATCCATGCTAAAGTTAGAGAAAGACTGTGCTGCCCAACAGCAAGAAAGATGGTTGTGGGTGTTGGTTTATTTTTCTTAAATCGTAGGCCTTCCTACATTCAGTTACATTTGATCAGACTCTAGACATTCTTTGACAAGGTGAAGAAAGTGAGCTCTACTGTGTCTCAGGGGTATAGAAGAAAAATATAAGACAGTTTATAAATTATTAGTTTAAATTCTTAGATAAATAGGCCTTAGAAGTCTGTTAAATTGTCTCCTTTTCAAGAACAGCATAGTTGAACAAGGCAAAGCATATCAAAAAGTGACCAGCGATAGCAGAGGAACTATGGCTGCATAATTTAGGTCCCAATGCCTGGCTGCTCCTATTACCTTTTTAAAATCTGGCTGCTACGATCAAAGAGTATTTCTAGAAATAACGTTCTTCCTGGGCTGCTTTCCAATCTACTGTGCATGCTTTGCTTCCATGCTATTTTAGTGGCACACAGGTAGAGCTCTCATTCCAAAATTGTTGGCTTATGATATTTGGACTCACTGATACTGAGTTCAGTTCCCACAAAGAGGTCAAGGGCAGGATGCATTTAAGTTAGGGGTGTGACATCCAAGTTAGGCTTTGAAGGTAGGCTTAGATTTGAATCTCAGCTCCTCCACTGACTAGTTGGTTACATGTAATTTCTCTTAGATTTCCTTTTGGGAGGGTTGCTGTAAAGAATCTAATTTAAATTTAGTACTGTAGGTAAAACTCTCAGTTGGAACCAGTACAAAGCAGGTGATAACAGAAATGGGATTGCTAATAATCATCTTAGGTAGGCTCTCCAAGTAATGTCAAGGAGCGTTCTTCACAGAAAAGTTCACTTGTTTATACGTGTTCTAGTTAGTCCTGGAGTGAGACTCTAAACAACAACATATTCTGGAGCTGATGGTCTCAGTTTTGCTATTGTAATATTGTTTCCATGTCTGCTCATTCAATAAATATTTGTTGAGCAAATCCTATGTATGTGTCAGGTACTATTCTAGGTACTGAGGCTACAGTGACAAAAAACGAAGTTCCCCCCTCATGGTACATATGTTCTAGTGAGGAAGACAGGCAATAATCAAACCAGCCAACTAAATAACTAACTAACTTTGTATGTTAGGTGAGAGAGAGAGAGAGAGAGAGAGTGATAGGGTGCTATTTGAAATAGAGTGGTTAGGGCAGTTGCTCTCTTAAGCAGACCCCTGGGTTAAGTGAAGGACCAAACCATCTGGGTAGCATGAGGAAGTGATTTTCAAAGCAGAGGGAATATGTCACTGAATAAGTGCTTGAAGATGAATTAGTTTATTGTGTTTTTCTTCTTTTAATGTAAAGACAATAAAAAGACATTGCAGAAATTTTCATTTATAACCCATCACCCTGTTTAACTAATGCAACATAAAAAAATTTCTCTACCAATGCTTTCTACGTTTATGAATATTTATGCATGTGTAAGTTATAGTATACCTAAAATTCCTTTTATTTCACCTAAACATTTCTCCATGTTGTCTCATAATTTTATGATAATAATTTTAATAATATACATTATTCAATTAGGATTTTATGCAGATTATAAAAGATTATGTGCCTGAAGATGTTCATTGAATTATTTATAGTTACAAATATTGGAAACAACTGAAATGCGTTCAGAATAGTATATTTAGATTACTTCTGGAGTTTTAGTAGTGCTACAATGAATGTCTGTAAACATCACTTTTTCTTATTTGAATTATTTGTGTGGATTACTTCCTGGGATTCAGATATCTATATCTTTTTTTAAAATTCTTGAATACACATTATCAAATGACTTTCCAATAGAATAATAGCATTCAACTTTATCACCAGGAATATATAAATATATAAATCACTCTGTGTATTTTCCAGCATTGGCTATTTTATTTAACGCTGTTTTTACTATTTAGCTACAATTAGAAATTAAACTACTAATTAGCAAAAGTTAGAACTCCATAGATTTCTTTTGAGTTTCATGGCTTACTCATAATGTTGAACATATTATCACTAAAAGTATTTCTTCTTTCAGTGTTTTAGAGATTGTTTGTTGTTTCCTTAGTTTATAAAACAATAATTGAAACCATATATACATTTCAGAACACTTTGTATTTGCTATACTTTTCCTGAGGTGTAATTAGCAATTATTTTCCTCAGTTTTCCCTTTATCTTGGCTTTGCTTATGTTGTTTTTTGGTCATCCGTAAGTCATTCATATATATTTTTAATGTGGCTAAATTTATTAATCTTTAACTTGCTTTTGAAATTTGAGCCATTTTAATGACAGTTTTCTTATTCCCTGCTTAAAGAGGAATCCATCCATTTTTAATTCAAGTATTTGTATGATTTGAATTATTATGTATAGATCTTAAATCCATTTGGAAATTATTATTTAACAGTGTTTTATTTCTAAGTATTAGGCACTTTTGTCCAGGTGCTGTTTCAGATAGTAGAGATATAATGTGACAAGACAAACAACATCTAGTTTCTTTCAAAGCTAATGTTCCAGTGAGGGAAGACAGACCACAAAGATGATTTCAGATAATGGTAAATGCTATAAAGACAGTTAAAAAAATGAAGTGATAGATTCGGGCTGAACAGATGCCTCTCTGATAAGATGATATTTGAGCTGATTTCTGAATCACAAGATGAGACTAGCCTATCGAGACCTGGGGCAGAAGTCTGCAGGCCAAGAGAATGCCTAGTACAGATGCATCAAGGGGGAATAGATCTTAACACTTATTAAATGCTCACTATGAACCAGGCACAATGCTAAAACACTTTACATGCATTATCTCATATATTCCTTAAAACAACTCTTAGGGGTAGGTATCTATTTTGAATATGAGGACCCTGAGGTTGGAAGAATTTAAATTATTGGCCTCATCTCAGCCTTCACTTTGGCTTAAAGTCTCATACTGCAACAGTGAATCCTTGCTTTTGTCTCTTCAGGCTTTCATGAGAAGGACAAGAAGCCATATTGCCGAAAGGATTTCTTAGCCATGTTCTCACCCAAGTGTGGTGGCTGCAACCGCCCAGTGTTGGAAAACTATCTTTCAGCCATGGACACTGTCTGGCATCCTGAGTGCTTTGTTTGTGGGGTCTGTATACTTACTTATTTATCTTTTGGGTATTGGAGAAGTCAGGGGTTCTCCTCTCGGAGAGGCAGAGCTGCAACTGGTCAGAGGGTTCACAGCTCAGGATGAAGGATTGATGTGGGCTTCCTAAAGGAGACACAAAGCACAGCATCCATTGTGGGCATTTGCTTCTCCGTTTTGCAAGTGGGTGATATTCTGGTCTCCATTTGTCAAGGACCCGAGTGAGTTCCTGCAACTGGCAGGTAACTTGCAGGAACTGCAAGGCTGAAAGCTTTACTTTGCTGATGATTTACTTCTTCACATCTGCATTCCTTTCCTTTCTCTTCTTTCTGTCCCTCCAGGACTGCTTCAGTAGCTTTTCTACTGGCTCCTTTTTTGAGCTGGATGGACGTCCCTTCTGTGAGCTCCATTACCATCACCGCCGAGGAACCCTCTGCCATGGATGTGGGCAGCCCATCACTGGCCGCTGCATCAGTGCCATGGGCCACAAGTTCCATCCTGAGCACTTCGTGTGTGCTTTCTGCCTGACGCAGTTGTCGAAGGGCATCTTCAGGGAACAGAACGACAAGACCTATTGTCTACCCTGCTTCAATAAGCTCTTCCCGTTGTAATCTTAGCTGAACCCACAGCCTCTTCAGATCCCCTCTAAAATGTAAACCAAGAGACGAAAGAGTACACTTGTTGTTACTGACCTTCTGCTCAATAGGCTTGTAGAGAAAGTAAAGGTGATGAACAAAGAAGGGGACTTCTAGATGTTACATGACTAAGCTTGTAGACTTAAGTTTTAGATTTCTAGTCTTTTTTTATTTTTAATTAGGTACTTGAATTTAGATCTGGGTCCTGTTGTCTAGTGCCTCTGCAGATGTATTTTCCACATGCATACATTGATTCCATCCCTGGTTTTCTCAGACTTCTCCATTTTTATGCCTATGATGGCCCTGCTCATATCTTGTCTCCTTTGGCCCTCATCACTGTCCCTTTTCAAGCTTTCCACGTTTCCCTGTGACTCATTTTCCCATAATCACTGCTGCAGACTTTATTTTGCTGTTAGGAATCGTGATCCTACTCTTAAGTTTTTTGCATCTCCCTTCAGTATATTTCTCTTTTTCAAGAGGAAGTAGATTTTAACTGAACAACTTTAAATTCTGACATCATTGACAAATAAAATGGCTTTCGGTTTTAATGACTCATTGTCATGTTTGGAGACAAACTTTCTGCTTCCCATGTTCTATGCTAGGCAGTATGTGTAATTAAATTTGTATCATATGTCTTGTTACTTTCATACAATGAGCGCTTTTTTTAATCAAAAGAAATTAAAAAGAGGGACTCCTATTCCCCAGTAACTTCCTGCTTAATTTGGGCCTATAACATTCCTTTTGTTTTATTTTTTGCACTTAGATGATTGAATCATCTTGAAAGATGGCAAAGATTCTTAAAATTGTTTTCTCACTTTGTTTACATAAGGAGAAAAACTGAATCTCCGTGAGGCGTTTGCAAGTTCATTTTTGCATATGTTTGTGTATCTCCAAACTCATCAAATTATATACATTAAATATGTCTAGTTTTCTTGTATATCAATTATGTCTCAATAAAGCTGTTTTAAAAAATGAAACATGCATCTACCTAAACTTCACAATTGTCTCATGGCTGTTCTTAGAACATCTCTGAAGAAAGATGCTATGAAAGATCATTTGATCATTTTCCAGTTTGGATTAGGAAATCCAAGCCCCAAAGAAAAATCTCCACTTATTTGTTCCTCTGCAAGATATTATAAGTAAATTTGTAGAAAAGCTTCTCGGGTTATTAAAGAATATGACTTTCTCATCTCCTATCTCAAGTAAGCTTCAGAAGGAGTCATGCTTCCTCAAAAGAGGTAGTGTTCAGATTGGTGCTATATCTTACTTACCATGGTCTTAAAAATAATTGTATGATTATTTGTTATAAAAAAAAAAAGACAGTTTAGGGGCAGACCCAGTGGCGTAGTGGTTAAGTTTGTGTGCTCCACTTTGGCCCCCCAGGGTTAGTGGGTTTGGATCCCGGGTGTGGACTTATGTACTGCTTATCAGGCCATGCTGTGGCAGCATCCCACACACAAACTAGAGGAGGATACACAGATGTTAGCTCAGTGCCAATCTTCCTCAAGCAAAAAGAGGAAGATTGGCAGCAGATGTTAGTTCAAGGATAATCTTCCTCACCGACAAACCCAGAAAAATCAAAAAACAGTCTAAATTACTGAGGGAAACTCCTTCACTGGAGGAATTTTTAAAAATAGGTCCAACTTTGGTGTCTTTAGATTGGAATGGGAACAGAAGTTCTTGGAGAAGTGATGGATTAAATGATTCTTGTCAAGCTTTATTGTATCTATCTCCTCTGTTGGAATGGGTGATCAAGGGATTTTGAGAGTTAAAAGAAAGTGGTAACAGTTAATTCTATAAAATAGGAATTCCAAATGTGTATGGGAGGCCACACAGGGAGCTGTCTGGCCTCATGTCCTGTTTGCTTGGCTGAGAGTACCAGACTAAGCAAAATATGCATTCAACTTCTAAACATCCTCTTTACAGTGTCCTCACTCTGTGATGTCACATGCAGGTGTTAATATGGCAGTCTTCATGGTTGCCTTGGCAATAGGACAAAGTAAACTTGGGGTTTTAGCCCTTAAGAAAGAATGTTCAGGTACTAAAACTTTTTTTTTAAGGACTAGCTGTTTTGAAATTATAGTAGAACCTAAATATTTAAAAAGGTCAGACAAAAGCCAGAGTTCACTAAGCTGAAATTAAGCGAAGAGTTTTCCCTCTCCCAATGAATGTAAGTGGTTATATTTGTTCAAAAAGAGATGCTGCCTTCATGATCAGTGTTTTAGCAGCAAGGAAACCACGCACAAGTAAAACATTGTCCTTAAACAGAAATATTCGTGGGCCTGCCAGGTGGCGCAGCAGTTAAGTTCACTCCTTCTGCTTTGGTGGCCCAGGGTTTGCTAGTTCAGATCCTAGGTGCAGACATGCCACTGCTTAGCCAGCCATGCTGTGGCAGGCGTCCCACATATAAAGTAGAGGAAGATGGACATGGATGTTAGCTCAGGGCCAGTCTTGTCAGCAAAAAAGAGCGGGATTGGCAGCAGATGTTAGCTCAGGGATAATCTTCATGAAAAAAGAAAAGAACCCAGAAATATTCAAACTGATCACCTAGCTGCTTACTCTTGGTTCTGAGTTACTTCTAGCTTTTAGAAAATAAACCTACCTTTAAAGGACAGGGGTTTTCTACCAGTGAGTATGTATATATATATATGAATTTGCTGTAGACTGGGAACATTCTCAAAGAGGAATCCCCCAATTAGTTTGACCAATTATTCTTTGGAATAAGTGTAGCGTCCTCCAAGGTGATATTTTCATAAAGACAGCAATTATTTTTCCAAATAGGTTCTAGCATGCACTTCTAGGATTGTCAGAAGGCTGCCAGCCACATGCTCCCTTTTTCGTGACCAGTAGAGGGAGAAAGAGTATTTTTCTCTAGCTTCGCAAGCAAAAGTCCTGAGATTCGTCCTCACTGGATGAGCTTAGGTCACATACCCACCAGTGATTTTTGCCCAGGGAATGGATTGTGCAGCTTAGCTTAAACCAAACTGGACAATTCCTGACATTAGAGGCAAAACTAAGTTCCTGAAAACACAAGGACTCTGTGGGCGACGTGAATTCTTAAATCTGAGTACTGATAAGGGGGGTAATGAATCTTGAATTCATGTAATTATATGTTCAAAAATGAAAGCACTATTAACATGTTTCTGAGTTTCAAGGTAATACAGAAGGTAAGCAAGTAGATATTTCCAGTGCCCCAAGGGAACACGTCTGAGAACTCTACAGAATTCTAAAGCAGAGGAAAACCAGCAATGATGGTGTCATGAGGAACATGTGGCAGAGCTGCCGTCTTCCCTGGGCCCCCAGGGGCACAGCGTTAACAAGTATGAAAAGCAGCTTCGGTCTGGTAATCTGAAAAGGGAGATCTTCCAGCTGAAATAAAGGTGAGAAAAAGTAACAGTTTTCTTTAAAGGGAAGGGTCTTAGGGGTAAGCAGGTCCTTAATAAGGGCAATGGTGGCAGCCACTAAAATACAGGACTGAAAAACTGACTGCCTGCCTCCAAAATACTGCCAGGGCTGTGTTACTAGATAAAACTCCCTGTCAGGGTAGCATGTAAGTGCTGAATATCCAGAGCTCAAAGTACAAGTGGAAACCTATTGGGAGTCACTGGATGAGAAAGAAAGAAATCTCAGATAAGTTCTGGTGCTTGCTTGTGCTTGTTGCAAATATATAACTTTTCCAGGAGGCAACAATGTCTCAAATCTATCCTGTAAGAAAGAAGACAGTTTATTCAGGAGGTTCTTCCTCCCTGGTTATGGTAAATGTGATGCGCGGGGTCTGTGAGCTGAAGAGTCGAAAGAAAGATTTCTTGGACTCTCAAGGTCTGGCAGTAGCGCTCTTTTATTTAGAGAATGGTGTGGAATAGCATGGGGACAGGACCCATGGACAGTGAAGAGCTGCTGCCGCTGCTGCATGGGAACAGGACCCATGGGCAGTCAGAGCTGCTGCTGCTGCTGCATGGGGACAGGACCCATGGGCAGTCAGAGCTGCTGCTGCAATGTGTTGAGGGTTAGGGCTAAATTTATAAGGCGTGGGTACGTGACTTATTTTTACTGGAAAAAGAAAAGATGATATAAAAAGTCATTAAATGGTTTCAGTGCAGATGGGGTCTGGTTATTGCGTGGTCGTATAACTTTAGATATGAATCTGGTCATATAGATCGGCATGTAGGCGAGGATGCCCTGGGCTTCTCTCCCTGGGGCAGCCTTAATCCACACCATAAAATCCATTGGGTCATATAGATCAGCATGTAAGCCACATCACCTTGGACTTCTTTACCTGGGGCAGCCTTGATCCACATCAAATGCACAGTGCCGAAATCAGTTTCCCGTGGGAAGATAGCTCCTAACTGAGTTTAGTTTCATAGACCAAGGATTCTGGACAATTACATAGATTCAGTGGCATTCTGGCGACAGCAACCCATCTTCCCTTGCTATTTTGTAGATCAAAAAATCTCAGCAAGTACTGTATTCTAGGAACCACGTTTTTGCCTGCATAACTTCCCCATTCCAGTGAGAGATATCTCAGATCAAAGGTGCTGATGAAACAACTCCTGTAGCTGAGAATGAACAAAGAAATCAAAGAGGATTTAACTTCCTTTAAACTTTAACTTAGAGGAAGTGAGACAATTTGATGTTGGATTTTAATGCCTTTGGACTTTGATATGCTATGTTAAATAACATGACTGAACATAATTGGGGATGTGAAATGGAATGGGAGTAAATTTCTGAGCATTATTTTTTTTCAGTCTAGTTTCTCCACAAGGAACCATATCTCTCCCATTTTGGGTCGATGTAGTTAAGTGGGGCTGACTTTACCTATAACTCCTGGGATGCACTCAAATCTCAGGCTGACCAGTACATTCGTCTTCTGGACCAAAGTGATTGGATCAAGGGTAGACATGCGACCCTAGAAAAGCCAATCAGATTGCTCCCCAGAGCCTTTGCTAGATTTATTGGGAACAAGTTATTCTCATTTTGTTAGGATTCTAGCTGTAAGGACAATTTAAAAAAACATTGCTGCTAAGAAGTATATGTATTATCACTTAGGGGCAACCTGCCCAAGAAAGAAGCCAATACAGAGGACAACAGAGCTGAGTCATGAAAAGGTGATGTCTTCTTTTTTATGAGCCACTCAATCTTACCATGTTAACATCTTAACCCCAGACTGGCAAGTTATGTGAGCAAATAAATTCTTTTTTTTCTTAAACCGATATGAGTTGGAATTCTGTCACCGGTTAATTGAGTGAGCAGAACAGACATATTCTCTCTTTTACAAACTTAAAATATTGTGAAAGAATGAAAAATGAATGAGCAAATAAAGTCAGTCGTGGCACAGAATGTACATCACATGTCACAAGGAAAAACAAGTAGACATAAATACTATCTGACCACTTCCCAATGCTTTTTACTTTAGAGCACAGTAAAGAAGAATCCTTGCTCTATGAACGTAAATGGAATGAGGAGCTATCTTCCCACAGGAAATTAATTTAGGTACCATGCATTTACCAGAACCAAGGAGGAGGAACCTCCTGCAAAAACTGTCTCCTTTCTTACAGAATAGATTTGAGACATTGTTGCCTCCTGGAAAATTACAAGGAAACATTTTGTAATTTAAGTCTGAGGCATCCTGTGGATAGCTCATATATTTAGAAAACAAACTTCATGTTCCTGTCTAATTTGTTAGTAAAGTTGAGTCATGTATATCAATATCACTAAGCGGAAAAAAAGGAGGGTGAGTGCTGTTATCCTCTAAGACACAAAAATGTGTTGGAAATCATGTTATACATGCTGCTTTATCTACTGTGCCTCCGTAGAAAACTATTAAATCTTTAATGTTATTGTAATGCTGTGTATTTGTAGTGAAAAATAGTTTTAAAAAACCTCAGTGTCCTACTTGCAAACAAAAAAAGAAAGATAAATTAGAAAATTATAAGAGAATTGGATTTCCACTTATCCTGAAAGTTGGTAGTTGAAGAAA